GGTGTCTGCTCGTTTGTCCTACACATTTTTACGAGCGTCTAGTGAGTTTCTTCATTCCTGACCTGATTTCGGCTAGTTTTTCATAGCTGAAAACAGCTTGATATCCTCGAAAACGCAAACTCACTCAATTTTTACGAAAAAGGTGACCCTTGGCTGTCGGGGTAAATTGCAAATTTTCTCTTACAGTTTCCTTTCGATTTTTTACATTTGATTCGTTTCAAGTATTTACACTTCCTGCCTTTTCTAAATTTTTTAAAGTCAATTTTTTACACTTGATTCGTTTCAAGTATTTACACTTCGTGCCTTTTCTAAATTTTTAAAGCACCTCTCTTAGTTTTTAGAGCGCTATAAAGCAGCTGGCTCGCAAAAAATGGCATTTTTTTGGCCCGCCACGCCGCCCAAAGCGCTTTCTTTGCATCGCAAATAGCAACATCGAGGGGGCCCCCAGGGCTATTTATTCTCTTCATAGGGCCCGACCGTTTCTGTCTTTCTCTCTCTCTCTCTTTCTCTCTCTCTTTCTCTCTTTCTCTCATCCCCCTCCAGCCTGCGCGCATAATTAAATGCCCTGGGGGTGCATCTGGGTTCTCCACCCCGCGCTTCGTGCCCTCGGGGCATCACTCTGCCTGTCCGGGCTCTCCTCATTTCGAGTAGTCTCTAGTTGGGAGGCTGGTGCGAGTGAGGCCTTTCATGCTCTGTGCATGTCCCCCCATCCACACTCACTAGAACCACCGCCGGCTACCCTTTCACCCCTCCAGAATTGTGCTCGTCCCCGGGGTACATACCCCACTTTTCAGGGGGTGGACAGTTCGACATGGTGCGCTGGTTTTAGGGTTTTTCTCGAACATTTTTCAAGTCATTAACACATTTTTAAGAGCAGTTTTATACCGGGCTTCCTAACTATATCGAATTTGACTTTTATTTTGTGTTTTAAAGGTCAAAGCCATTATTTTATAGAATTTCGCACGCTTTTGCGATTTATTGGCATATTTCTAAATGTCTATACCATTATGCGATTGGTAATAATTTGACTTTTAGTTACTGTTTAGAGGCGATAACCATTGAATTTATAGGATTTCGCAGCGATGATCGAAATTAGCAAATTTTGTCGTGAATACGTGAATTTTTCTTAATGGTGGCTTTGAATCGTTCTTCCAAAAGTAAAGTTTAGTATATTCTTACTTACGATACGGTTTTTGTACAAAATATTATGTTTTCGCTTATGCCGAGGTACCGGGCACAGTTTTAGCGCAGTTTACTCCCAGTATCTTTTTTAATTGATCTAAAATCCTGTACGTTTTTTTTTCATCGTGTATTTTGTTGACTTTCTAGCGTGCATGACACTCAAAAAACATTGACGATCTTTGGTATATTTTGTTACCACCCGTTTCGGATTTTGCGCGGGAGGGTGGCTGTAAAGACGGGGGGTATAAAACCATCAACTCGAAATGCATTGACTGCGTTTTTCAAACTTCCATTATTGCGTGAAAGTGTTCGATTTCTCTTGAACTTCCTCCATTAAAATGCCTTTATCGTAAAGCATTAACTTTACGTTCTCCCTTACCTTACGAGCTCGAAGTAACCCTCGTTCCGCACAAGTTTAAGTTTACGTTCACCTATCGTTTCCGGAAAAATTGCTGTTAGGTTCTGAATCACCAGACTACGATCCCACGCCAGCCTACTACGCTACTGAAGCCCCAAAATTTTCATTTCCGTTTTTTACTCCCAATTGGACCCGGGGGGCTGGGAAGTTGCTCGTCACCATGGTGACATTTTCTTTTGGTCGCCTAAAGGGTGTCTCCCGGGGTATTAAAGAGGGGGACCCCAAAACTGGGCTCGTCGGATGGGGCAGCTGGTGGGCACCATGGCGAGAGAGAGAGAGATAGAGAGAGAGAGAGAGAACGAAGAATATCCGTCATAGCGAGTGTGGTGGCAGATGGCCCCGTTTCACTGCTTTTGCACCCGGGCCGTATGGGCCATATTTAAGCGGTGATTAACCTGGCAGGAGGTGTATTGCGTTTATTAACGGATAGTTTAATACAACAATGATTCTTAAATATATAGGAAAATGTAATAATGAGTTGCGAGAAATACCTTGTTTTATTACAATAAACTTTCGAGCAATGGTAAAACGGGGTTGCGCACGGCGGGAGTCGAACCCGCGACCTCCTGTTTTCCGTACAGGTGCTCTTCCGCTGAGCTACACGCGTCCCGAATCACCATAGCTCGAGGCCGAGGATAAGGGAAAGGATGGGCTGATTCACGCCATCGCACTCTGCCGTTTCCGGGGCTTTTTCCCCTCTCTTGCCAATCCTTTACATTACTGCGTCAGGCTTATTGGCAAAAATAAATCCTTAGATCGCTCTTTTCTCGTCTTTCTCTCTTGTCCTCGCGCTCTCTTTCTCGCTTTCTCCCTCTCTCTCGCTCTTTCTCTCGCTCTCCCTGTCGCACTCGATGTCGCTCTCGCACTCTCTCTCTCTCTCTCTCTCTCTCTCTCTCTCTCTCTTTCTCTCTCTTTCTCGCTTTCCTGCAAACTCCGAACCTGTTTTTTTAGCTTTGTAGAAGAATCCATGCAAGGTTGCCCCCGTTCGCTGTTTACTTTACTATTCTTCGCTCTCTCGCACCTTTGTCTTACAAAAATGGGGGCGTATACAACGGACGCCTTCCCGGGTGGCGCCTATAAACATGTTATTTGCTACCCCTGCACAGGCAGCACCGCGAAACAAGTTTTCACCTTCGCGCACTGCGTTTTTTCGGCAGGCTATGATAGTAGCGCCAAAGTAGGGGGATTATCATCGAGATTTTGAGAGGTTTAAAAATAGCTCCTGTTAGTTTTTGTAAAATTGTTAGACCCACTTTTCAGGTGATTTCGATTACCTCTTTCTCCTCGATTCTGTCAAATTTTTTTTGCTTTATTTTGTTAGGTTCGTTTACTAGTTTTCTTTACCTTTCCAGCTCGGTTCCAGCGCGACGCGCGACAGCCCAAAAGCTTTATGATTATGGCCCTAAAATCGGGGAGTCGTAAATCTTAAAATCCGCTCTAGCGGCCCTAGAATTTCGCGGCAGCACCCACCTGTCGTCGTCTTCATACTTTCAGAGCACAACTGTACTTTTTTACTCTGCTTTGAAATTTTATAAAGTCTTGAATTCTCGCTTTTGCATTTTTCGTACCCTTTTCACATTTTCTATCGCTTTCTCTGTTCTCGGCCTCGCTCTCGATCTGTTTTTCTCTTCTCTGTCTATCGTTCTCCCTCGCTTGTTTGCGGTCTCTCTCTCTCTCACTTTCTCCTCTCTCGCTCACTCTCTGTTACTCGCTCTCTCTCCCTCTCCATTCCTCCATGTCTCTTTCTTTGAACACGGTTTTGCAAACAAATATTGTCAAAACTTATCCGAAACCACCTCAAGTCCTTTCTTAATGGTACCTTAATTTATCATAGCGTAATTGATTGACAGTCGAACGAGCCCAACTTGATCCCCCAACCATGCAAAGCGATTTTACGTTTTGACGGCATTCTAAGTATCTAAATGCTCGGGAAAACGTGCCCAATTTAGTTGCCTGGCGCACACTTATGGCACCCGGGGCTACAGATTGGTCTCCCGTTCCGTGGAAAGGATCTTCGCCATCCATCCCTCATCTCATCTCCCGGCTTCGGCACACCACCATCCCCCAATCTCCCGGGAGATTAGGGATTTTGGCTCCTTGTCTTCTTCCCTCTTGGAGAGTCGCGTAGTGGGGGGTTAAGATGATGCTACGAGGGAATTTGAGGCTCAATTTCGGGAACAAATTGGCTAGAATTGTCATATTTTCCCATCCTTGTCCAAAAATATACTGAAAATTCACGCATCTGCGGCGTTTCCTTTAAAGTGAAAACGCTTGAATTAAAAAATTCTGACGCTATTTCTCGAATCCGCATTGAATTTTCACCATTTTAAAATTTTTGAATTATCCAAATTGCCCAGAGAATCTCCGCGATTGGGAGGCTGGGTGCCTTACATGGGATGCCGATATGTAATCTCCGCGCACTCAAAAAGTCGTGTTCCCAAGAACATTTCAGTCTTCTCAAATATTTTACGTTTTTTCGCAACGAAATCAATTTGTTTTTTTTTGACTAGTAGGTTCAACGCCCCCACACACGATATTTTTGACTTCCGAGCCCCTTTAAATATATGTATTCCGTAATATAGCCATGTATTCACGGCTCTTCCGCGCCTTGGACTCTGCAAGAATCAGAAACATGATTCAGGAACTCGGCAGCTTGAGAATCAACCCGTACAGTGCCTAGGTTTAGAAAGCTTCACTACGATCCAAATCTAGCGTTGTTGTTGGTACTTATAGGGATTAAAAATGTTAAATCGAAGCCAAAATCTCGCAGCGCATTCATTTAGAGTGATGCGTAGTTGTCAAGAGCTAGACGATGGTAGAGTCGATTCTCGCTTCCTACCCCCTTCAATGCCGAATTTTCCGGATTTAATCAATTTTCTTGGTAAACTGAACCCCTACATTCCATTAAACTTGAGATACTAAACGTAAAAGTTTCCAAAATCGTCTCTCCTCGACGTCGACTTTTCGCTCCTGGGGGCTAACAAAGGGAGACCATTGAATACGACACACGACGGCAAACGATAATTGCCCTCAGGGCACACCGGGCATTCACTCCCGGGAGCTGCACCCGCGGGTTTCGCTAAAAAGTTGCGCGTTTTTCGGTTTCCAGTAAAATACTTCAGGCTCTCTCGCTCTCTCTCTCACTATCGCTCCCCCCCTCTCTCTCTCTCTCTCTCTCTCTCTCTCTACCCTAAACCCAGTTAGGGCCTTAAAAATTGGATTCCTGCTGCTTGAAGGCGTCTGGGATCTTTGTGGTTTGGATTTGGCAGTCCTATATATTTTTTATATTCTTTGATTAATGTATGTTTTTATCATACCTCCTATTTTGCCGAGGTATACTTTCCCTGTTACGCCCAGATTCCAGGCTCCAAAATGAGATAGCCAACTGCTCCTCACTAGGATGCCCAAGAAGGTGCAGCTCGTCGCTTCGGGTAAGTCTCGGATTTCGTCTTAAAGGGACCGGCAAGCGATAAAATCGACCCTTCTAGCGGCTAGGTCCAGCTCAGTCCAATGCAAGAAACTGCAGCTAAAGCAAAAATTCAGTGTTTGTCAGTGCATCGTGGATTCGCGCAGTTTTCTAGATCGCGCCGACAGCGACCTAGCGACGTTCCGGCGCTTTCTAGTTCCTTTAAAAGTAACAACCGACGCGGTGCGTCGGACGCAAATATTACCAACATCCTCATCAGGTTCGACGGAGGATGTCTCAAACATCACCCAGGAGTTGCTGGAGAGCAGAAGGCGGCTTGAAGCCGGTGTCGAGGAAAATCGACGGAACCGTGAGGTTCTCCAAGGGCTGAATGACCAGGTGGGCAGGCTAGCAGAGAGTATTGACACTGGCTTTCCATTTAGATCCAAAAAATCCGGCAACGGGCCTCGGAAAAAGATGCGTTGATGGCTGGAGCTCGGCATAACAGATCGATGAGCAGATTGGATAGCGGGAGGCAGAATCAGTAAGTGAGGGGCAGGCTAGCAGAGAACATTTGGGAATGGAAGGGGCAGGCTAGCAGAGATCATTTGGGAATGGAAGGGGCAGGCTAGCAGAGATCATTTGGGAATGGAAGGGGCATGCTAGCAGAGATCATTTGGGAATGGAAGGGGCAGGCCAGCATAGATAATCTGGGAATGGAAGGCGCAGCCTAGCAGAGATCATTTGGGAATGGAAGGGGCAGGCTAGCAGAGATCATTTGGGAATGGAAGGGGCAGGCTAGCAGAGATCATTTGGGAATGGAAGGGGCAGGCCAGCAGAGATCATTTTCAGACAATACCAACAGCCATCACCGGATTTCTCAACGGAACCCGGTTATTCCTCACAGCTACGTGTCTCCCCTCTACACCGATCGTCACCACTTCTGAATCGGTAGGCTTTGCAGCAGCGTTGGATTTCCGAAATAATCCCTGCTGGCCTGCTCAATTCCATTTTTTAGATCCTTTGAGGTCGACCGTCACTCCGAAACCATCAACATCAACATAGATCCCTCGATTTTTGGTCGAGAACGGGAGGATGAAGCCGATCGCGAGATTGAGGGGCTCATCAACAAGCTCAAGGCCGAGCTGTTCAAGTGAGTTTCTCTCCCGCATACTGTCTGTCTCTCTCTCCCTCTCTCTCTCTCTCTCTCCTCTCTCTCTCTCTCTCTCTCTCTCTCTCTCTCTCTCTCTCTCTCTCTCGCTATACCCCTACTATATTTCATGCAATCCATCCCCCAAAATTGGCGTCTCGCTGGCCCGAGTGGCGCCAGCAAAGTGGCCTCCATTCGTGGGTGGCCCGGAGCGGGCGATAAATTTGTGGCCCGAAATGGCCCCGATCCTGATCGTAGTCCGAGCTAAGAGCTATAGATACGAGATAGAGAAGAGAGAGAAAGAGAGAGAGAGAGAGAGAGAGAGAGAGAGAGAGAGAGAAAACTGTCGCTATAATTGAATTTTAGAAACAACACCCTCGAGGAAATTAACGACATGCTAAAAGCCGAAAATGATGCAGCGCTAACGGCAAATGTTAATTTGAGGTTGGCATTTGCTTGTATAAGTAATAAATCCGTAATTACTGAAGCGGTATCGAGCAAGGTAGTCGTAAAGTTTTTACGACTTCGCACGGCTCAAGCCTAGCCGCTATGACTCTGATTTTAGCTATGTTTGGGCTACCTGGATAGTTGTGCATTCCGAATTCCGTTAAAAACACTCTAGAGTTCAGTATTTTATTTTTTTTTGTTGATTCGCCGAATGGGAATTTTCTTCAGAACCGACGTTAGCGAGCTGACCCGAACACTCGAGTTTTTGAGCCGTGAGTACAGAGACGAACAGGACCGATTCAGGATTGAGAACCAGGTGAGGAATTAGATCGGCTCGAAATACCTATTAAGTTCGCAGTATTAATTTAATGATGAGCGATACTTCAACTAAGAATATTTTTTTTGATTTCATTTTTAGCGCTACCGAAGTCACCTCGACACGCAGCACCGCCAACTAATCAGCCTCTGGAAAGCGTTTTTGGCTGTGAAAAGACAGGTTGGATCCTAAAGCTTGCCCATCATACAGTACCCAGATGAAAGAGCTGAAAACGTTGACAGCAGCCGATATGGAGAAGCAGATGGGCGAGTTCGCCAGATGCACCCAGATGATGCAGAAGGCGATCAAGCAAGCTGAGGGCAGGGTGAGTGCATTTTAAAGGCTTTTGGAAGCTAAAAACTGGCCTGTCGCACGCATTAGGTATCATTAAAGGGACAGGGAAGGCCAAATTATGGATTTTTAGAAGAGTTGTAGATAACATAATACATCGAAAAACCTACTCTTTTTCAGACCAGCACCGTTCAACACCAAATGACGCGTGAAAAGGACGAGGTCGTCAACGAGGTCTTCAAAAAGTACGAGGAGCTGTCGGAGCGGAATGCTGAGGTTGGTCGCGAGTATTTTTTCTGTCTAGACCCAGTAGACGAAGGGGTCGATTCTAGAGGATCTAGACCCTTTAAAGCGCACGTTCAGGGAAGGGCCGTGTACTCGTCCCAACCTGTACACCCTATGGACGTAGAGACCGCGCGCACTGCCTGCCCGTGCTGTGACAGGCCATTCCCCTCCTTATCGGCGTGGGGCGCCCCTCGCCCCCTCGCCAGGTTGTAGCTGTGGCTGACTGGTATCCATCCGCGCCTCCCGAGCGGGGGGTCCGGGTTCGACCCCCCCGTCCGCAGCAAAAATCTTTGCTTTTTTCCAAAAAACGTCCCTGGACGTGCCCTTTAAACTGAATTTTCAGGTCGAGAAGCAAAACTCGGAAAAGAGCCGCAGAATAGCAAAACTCGAAACAGAGTTGAGAAGAGAGAAGGAGGAAAAAGAGGGGATTCGAGATGCGCTAGGGAAGATATCGAACATGCCCGAATTGACGCAAAATAAGGAGGGCAAGCCGAGGTCGAGGAGTCAGAGTCCTGGTGAGAAAATGCTGCTTTTCACGATCGCTCTCTGTTCCTCCTCTTTCTCTCCTCTCTCTCTCTCTCTCTCTCTCTCTCTCGCTCTCTATCTTACGATACTTTTTAGGTTCTCCTGGTACCAGCGGCGGTGAAGCCATGAGAAAAATTCGCTCGACCTTGCATGCTCGAAATGTGGAGTTGAAGGATTTACAGGTTTGCCATTATTTCACTCGCTCTCTCCAACTCGCGATGTCCCTCTTTCTCTCGCTCTCTCCCGCTCTCTCTCTCTTTCCCTCTCTCTAACTCGCCATTTCAGATGAAACTCGAGCGCTCCGAAGCCCAAACCGAAAGATTGCAACGGGACATTGAACGCCTAGAAAAAGAGCTAAAAACCAGAGCCGAAAGAGAAAGGCAAAGGGAAGAGGAAGCCAAAAAAAGGTGCTTTAGCCTGTGTCTGCTGAATCCAGTAATTTTAGAGAGCACGAGCTGGCAGACCTCGAGAAGCAGTCCAGAAGAGCTGACGAACGAATGCAGAGTGCGGAAGAGGACAAGCAGCGGTTGCAGGAAAATATACAACAGCTGCAGGACAGTATCGCGCATATCCACAAGTACGTTGTTAGTTGTTTAACGTAGACTTTGGATATGGTAATCTAAAGGGAGTCGCAGCTGGTCAAAACCTTTTGAAATTTAAAATAATTATATACGCTGAAGATAAACACTGACAAATTTTTGATAGGTTTTTACTTCAAAATTTCTATTCGAAATATCCTTCAGACTGCACCGAGAATTCATCGAAAATCTGACGGAGCGTCACAAAGAGGAGCTCGATGTACGCCAAAAACACTACGAGACGGAATCTGAAGAAAGGATCAATGAGGAAAGAACGAGAGCGACCAGGGTAGGCTGAATTGCGTAACTCGACTCGTTTAATTTGATTAAACAAGATGTAAGATAAATATTTTCGAGTTAAATCCATTATATTAATATTTTACGTTGTTTTCAGATAAAAGACGAGCTCGAGCGGACCAAAAACGATGGCGAAGCGCTGCGTCAACAGTTGCGGGACGTACAAGCTGACCTGGCTACTGTAAGGAAAGGGATGGAAGATAAAGGTAAGGTAATTGGGTTTAAACATACTTAAACCAGCCCTAGGGATTTTTTAATAAAACACCCGATTTTAGAAATGCTCAACACCCACCTCAGCGACGAGATCAAGAGGATAAGAGAACAGCTGGCAGAAGCGCAAGCCGGGGAAGATGATAAGGACAAGACGATACACGAGTTGAGGTAAGTTAAAAATATATATCTCTATCGCTCTGCCCCTCTCTCTCTCACTCTCTCTCCCGGGCTCTCGCTCTCTCTCTCCCTCTCTCTCTCTCTTTCTATCTTCCTCTCTCACTCTCTCTCTCACGTTCTCGCTCTGACTCAGTCGTTCTCTCTCTCTTTCTCCCTCTCTCTATCGCTATCTTGCTCTCTTTCAGACACTCTCTCCCACGCTGTCGCTCCGACTCTGCCGCTCTCTCTGTCACTCTCTGTCTCTCTCCCTCTCTCTTTTCTCAAAATCAGCGCCATAATGTTTGAGGGGTCTCAAGCAGGAAAAATTAACCGTTTTCCAGAGCCAAGTACGAACACGCCAAAGACAAGGAAAAACGCGTCAAAGCCGAACTCGCCGAGGTCTCAGGAACAATCGACATCATGACCGACGAGAATAAATCGCTGCAGGACCAGGCGGCCGAGACAAGGGAACAGATGAATGAGATGGGGAACCGGCTGGAGCAGGCCGGCCAGAGGGAGGAAGGTATGTTTTACTGGCGCAAGGCTACAATTTAGTTTGCCGTAACGTTGCTTTGGTCTTCTAATATTCTCTTTGTATGCTCTAGGATATAGTCAAGATAAAAATGATCTCTGCTAGCCTGCCCCTTCCATTCCCAAATGATCTCTGCTAGCCTGCCCCTTCCATTCCCAAATTATCTCTGCTAGCCTGCCCCTTCCATTCCCAAATTATCTCTGCTAGCCTGCCCCTTCCATTCCCAAATGAACTCTGCTAGCCTGCCCCGCCCATTCCCAAATGATCTCTGCTAGACTGCCCCTTCCAATTCCTAAATGGACTCCGCTAGCCTAGCTTTTTTTTTCTAGAACTCGAACAACAATCCGAGGAGTTGAATTCAACGATTGAAAAGCATGAAGAAACCATCCGGGAATTGAAAGCATCTCTCCAAGAGGCGCAGACAAGGGCTGAAGCTGTAGGTTTTTTCCACAAGGAGGGAGAGCGAGAGATATAGAGATAGAGAGAGAGAGAGAGAGAGAGAGAAAGAGAGAGAAAAGAGAATTTTTTAGATCACCGACGAAATGGCCTCCCAGCGTGAGCAATTCGCATTCGCGCGGAATATGGCCGAGCAGCGGGCGGAGGAATCGCAGATGTTGGAGCGTGAACGAGAGCAGGCGTTAAGGTATGGTCTGATACCTTGCACGTATAGTAAAACGACGGCCGATCACCATTTATTAGCGGTCATTTAGCTTCAATAAGCGACTTAAAACCAAAATTAAAATGTCAACTTCAAAATTTGAAAAGATTTAAACGTATAGAAGAACTTTTTAGAGAAAAAGACATGGCACAGGACGAGCTCAACAACCGGAACCATGAAGTGGCCGCCCTCAACGCGAAGATAGCAACAATGGAGAAGGATATCTCGGGTCGGATAGAGCAGGTAAATTGGGTTTCAGTTTATTTACCATATGAACGCGTTATGTAGCGTTGCGTGGGCGTTGCTTTTGCATTGCGGTTGAAAGCTTCGCTTTCAAGGGACTGGGAAGTCAAGGCCCTGGTTCTACACACAAAATCATAAAATCTGCAATAAATAGATATTTTCGACGGCTTATGAGTACCGTACTTCTTAAGGACCACCAAGTGAAGCTCCTCATCGATGAGATCCGCTCGAAAAATGACCAACTCGAGCGTGAAGTATCTGAAAAGAACGCTATCATTGAAGATATGAGAGGTGAGGAGAGAGTGAGAGAGAGAGAGAGAGAGCAAGAGAGAACGACAGGTAGAGAGATAGATCGTGCCCCTCATAGTGAAATCTATGTGTTTTTCCAGATAAGCTGGAAGACCTCCACAACGACCTCATCAAACGGGACGAGCGTAGCAAGGCGGAGGTGGCTAAAATTGAAGAGATCAAGACGATCGATATTTTGGTAAATACCGCTTCAAATTTTTAACCGACGATTTTAGACAGTGCGTGAAGAATGGACCCAGAAAGCTCGTGCTCAAGAAGCAGATCTGGTGAGTTTAAAAAGGTGGTGGCATCCAAATTTTTTAGGAATCTTTGAGGCGACACCTGGCCGAGATGGAGGCTAGATCCAAGGAATTGACCCTGGAGATTGATCGGCTGAAAACTGAGAATGAGGCGCTGGAAATCGATCGAGATCAGGCTGTTGAGAAACAGGAAGATGAGACCAGACGGTTGAAGAAGAAAATTGAGGTAAGGGAGAGCGAGAGAGAAAGAGAGAGAGGGTGAGAGAGAGAGAGAGAGAGGGAAAACTAGTAAGTTTTACTCGTGAATACCACCATTTTCTAGGAGCTCGAAGAGCAAGCTCTGGCCGACCGCGAGGAGTACGAGGAGCTACGTGCCAAAGTCAGCGGTTTTTCCTTTAATTTTTGTCTTCTGAATAAAAGATAGCCGAAAAGAGCGAGAGTGGGAGAGAGAGAGATAGAGTGAGAGAGAAAGGAGAGAGAGAGGAAATGAGCGTGAGAAACATTGGACGATTCTAGGAAACGAAGCAGCGTGATGAAGCGATGTCCCAAGTCACCGAGGAGTTCAAGCGACTCCAGGGGATGATAGACGAGATTGGGGAGAAAGGTATGGAGTTTTGCATTACAGGTTTTTTAGATATCCAACTTCGCCCTGTAGCAAAACCACGATTCCTCAAGAATCTCTGCTAGCTAGCCCTGATGCCCATCGATCAAGTTTTTTCCAGAATCCATCCTCCAAAAGCAGTTCGACGACACCAAAGAGGAGCTGGCAAAAGAAAAATCGATAAATGACACTCGACAAGAGGAGCTGGGCCGACTACAGTAATCCAGCGACTCATTTTTTACCTAATTTTTAGCCAAACAATCTCCCAACTCGAGCAGCAACTAGACTCGGAACGAAAACTTGGCCACAATAAGGTAACCAGCAACCTTTACTTTTTCTGTTCTTTTTGGCGTGAAAATCCGCTTCACTACGTTTGCTACTGCATTCCGTTGTAACCGTGCTTGGTGACCGTAACGTACTTTGTAGTTTGGACCCGCACGCCGGAGTGTTACTGTGTTTGGCACGTTGCCAAGAAATGTGTGGCGTGAACCATTGCCCGACTACCGTATCCACGAGAGCATCACGCAGAGCTGGCAGGTAAGAGTTGCATGGAAAATTTTGTTTGAGTATTTTGGCGCGTTCTAAAGGGAGCAGGAAGCGTGGAAATCGATGCCGGCTGCGACTAGATCTAGACAGATTCGCGACGCGCCAAACGACGCGGAAATCTCATTTTTAGGGTCTCTAGAGATCAGCCGCATGGCGTGATCAAAGGCGTTTGGATGCGTGTCTTGGCGTGTGGCGTGGCTGTCTAGGCCTAGTGGATGGAAGGGGTCGATTCCAGCCCTTTCAGTGGCTTTAATAAAGGAAAAAATTTGGCTCTAAAGGAACGCGTAAGATATGGGCCTGGATGTAGGTGGCTACGGATTTCCTATGGATTATGCGGCCGGCGCGACGGCGCGACGGAACGTGCGTGTCAGGCGGGGCAAGCGGCCTGCGTGAGTGCGCGTTGCGTGCCGCGGCAAAATCCGTCCGGGTTCCGCAGCCAATTCAAGCTGCTCGTGCTCTGGCACGGGCTCGTGCTCAAGTTGAAACACTGCTCGTGTTGTGTCTGGTGGCTGTCTAGACCTCTTCAACGGGTGGGGTCGATTCTCACGCTTCCTAGTCTCTTTAAAATCCGTTTTCTCAGCTTCGTTCAGTGGTGTGCTTGGCTGTTTTTCTGCTTTCTCGCCCTCTCTTTTTTATTTTTGGTGCACCCCCGATTTCCGGCCGGCGGTGTGCAACAACCCGCCCAACCCACACTTCCGTTCCCCCCATCCAGCTGGCGTCTAGCCGAACATGTAAAAATATCGAACACCTAGCATGCCTTGAATTTTGGCACGATAGCGCTGTACAATTTAAATTATATAAATTTTGATTCTCGCATGCATTTTAAAGGGACTGACAAGGCAAAATTATGGTAACCAACTATAATTTTTGGGTGTCGTCTTCACTACAAATCGATTAGAAACCATAGCGCAAAAAACCCATAAGGATGCCCTTTCAAGCTTTCCTTCTTAGGTTGAAGAGCATGAGGTCCGGATAGCGCGCTCGCAGACGCAGTACGACGAGTTGTCACGAAATAAGGATATGCTCGAGTCGGAAAGGGATCGACTGGTGACGCTCATCGCAAAGAGTAAGTTAGAGCATGAGAGAGAGCGAGAGATAGAGAGAGTGAGAGAGAGAATGAGAGAGTGAGGGATTGACCAAAGACGTTAATACCCTTTTCAGAAACGACCGCCATCCAGAATTTGGAATCCCAAGCTGACGAGCTGACCGCCCAGCTGGCCGAAGCCGAGGCCAGGGAAAATTCACTGCGGGACGAATTGGCATTGTTTACAAGAGAAGTGGGTGTCTTAGTTGTACTACGTAACGCTACAAATGACGACGAAAGCTTTCAAAACTAAATGGGCATGCTTCAGGCCAGTGAACTTCGTCATGCAGTTGCGCGTCACCAGCAGCTACTCGCAGAAAGGAGTCAGAAGTGTGAAAGTAGGGAGTTTCAGTATCTCTCTCACTCTCTCAAGCACTCTCACTCTCTCTGTCGCTCTGTCGCTCTCTCGCTCTCTCACTCGTTCTCACTCTCTCACTCTCGCTTCCGCTCCCTCTCGCAGTCTGTCTCTCTCTCTCTAACCTTCGCTGTCTCTTTATCCAGCTCTCTCTATCTCTCTCTATCTCTCTCTCTCTCTCTCTCTCTCTCTCTCTCTCTCTCTCTCTCTCTCGCTCTGCACGTTTTCTTTCTAGAGCAAGAAAATCGCATCCGTGAGCTTCAAAAAGAAGTCCACCTGAAGCAAATCGAAGCTGATCACCGCCGAGAGGAGTCTGATGATGCTCAAGAGGCCAAGATGGCACTCCAAAACAAAGTGAGGCTCAGTTGAGCTGAACCTATCCATTTTATGTTTTAGGTCCAAGCCCTAGAGCTCCAACTTGCCGACAAAACAGCAAAACTCGAGTCCACTACCGATTTGCTCAAAAAACTGGAGAATACCGAGAAGAACATGATGACCGAGTTGAAGGAGGATGCGGAAAAGGTATTGCCTTCGCAAACCTGCTTTCAAGGGAACGGGAAGCTATTAAATCGACCCTTTCCTACGGCTAGGTCTGGACGGTTTCAAAACCGACTTTTTAGGTTACCCACTACCGACGAAGGAATGAGGAGCTGAAAATCTCGACCTCAAAGCTCACGGAAGAAGTGACGACCCTCAAGACGTTGCTTGAAAGGAAGACGCAGCAATCGCAAAGAGCGCTGGCAGATCTGTTGGACAATTATAAGGAGGTCAGCTAGCAGAGATCATTTTGGAATGGAGGGGGCAAGCTAGCAGAGATCATTTGGGAGTGGAAGGGGCAGGCTAGCAGAGATCATTTGGGAATGGAAGGGGCAGGCTAGCAGAGATCCTTTGGGAATGGAAGGGGCAGGCTAGCAGAGATCATTCGGGAATGGAAGGGGCAGGCTGGCAGAGATCATTTGGGAATAGAAGGGGTAGGCTAGCAGAGATCATTCGGGAATGGAAGGGGCAGGCTAGCGGAGATCATTCGGGAATGGAAGGGGCAGGCTAGCAGAGTTCATTTGGAAATGGAAGGGGCAGGCTAGCAGAGATCATTCGGGAATGGGAAGGGCAGGCTAGCAGAGATCATTCGGGAATGGAAGGGGCAGGCTGGCAGAAATCATTTGATGATTTTAGGCGGAACGCAAGGCCCACTCAAATCAAGCCGAGGCCGATCAGCTTCGCGCTGGCGTGCTAGGACTTGAGGCAAAGTTGGAACGGGCTGAGAGACGAAAAACGGAGCTGGAAGCTAAGTTGGCGGAAGCGGAAGGGAGACGGGACGAGCTGGCCGTCCGGAATAGTCAGTACGAAAGGAGCGCTGCAATTGGGATTGGAAGTAAGCAGTCCTTTAGACTTTTTAGCCCTCTCAAAAGTTCATTAAAGCAATATCGGGGGTTTTCGCCCTGTTGTCGTCATTGTGCCATTTTCCAGAACACTCCTCGATGCGGACCGGAAACTCGACGCTGGATTTGAGCCATGATCACCATTCTTCATGTGAGTTCAAGCCCTCGAATTCGAAAATTTATTCTGGCCTTACAATCTGACGTTCAAAGGGACTAGAAATCGTCGAATTCGACTTTTCCGTCGACTAGGTCTAGACAGCTACGCGGTACGTCAAAGCACGGGTATCAGCGTATTAGGATTTTGCGCGAAAACGGTGTCCATATGCATTTTTTGGTTTTTCAAGTAACTTTCTAGTCCTAGTCGCTGAGAAATGTCGATTTTCGCGCATTCCCAGACCCTTTAGGCCCAAAGTATAGGCATTTTGACGAGACAATTTGTGTTTATAGTACATTACGCCTAGATTTCGATTTTTTAATCTATGACTATATTAAAATTTATGTCTTTTTTAGATGGCTCCATCGGAGCGCCAGTCTCGATTCCACATCTTCGCGGTAGCGTCTCGACGCAAAATATGTCGGCCGACTTCTCGCCAGAGCGATCGGTTAGTTTATGCCAAACAGGCCATCCAGCTTTACGGAAATTTACCGTAATTTTTTGCAGTATTTGAATGATTGTAATTCGTTGGATGCTTCAAAAAATCAGCCATTTTCAGGTCCACTTCGACGATTCCGGGGAGCGCCTAAAGGCACTCGGTATTACACCATCGATGGACATCACAATTCGATACCTGAAGGAAAGGATAGAACAACTAGAAAAGTAAGGGTTACACCCATTACGTTATCTTTTATTTTAGGGAACGAACGTCGCTTACCCAAGCTCTTGGCGACAGTCGGCAAAGTGAGAAATTGGTGAAACGACGGCTTGATGAAGTTACGCAACTCTTGGACTCGTTGCAGAGGAAGGCCGAGCAGTTGGAGAACGGTAGGTCTCTCTCAATCTCCCACTCTCTCTCTCTCTCTCTCTCTCTCTCTCTCTCTCTCCTCTCTCTCTCTCTCTCTCTCTTTCTCTCGTTCTCTCTCCCGCTCTCTCCCTCCTCTGTCTCTCTCCCTCTCACTCTCTCCCTGTACATCAAAAATTCCACCACATTCCAGATAACAAACTGCTAGAGGGCCGCATGAACAACCAGCGCCAAATGTACCTCAGCAACGAGGAGTCGATGCGCAGCAGGGAGGGCGAGTTCAGGTATGGCTCTCTCTCTCTCTTTCTCTCCCTCTCTATCTCTTACTTACCTACTTACTCTCTCTCCGTCTCTCTCGCTCTCTTTCGCCCATGGCTCACTTCCGCCTTTTCAGAAACCTCAAAGCCAAGCTAATGTCCGCCGAGCTGCACGTCAGGGAGAAGGAGAGCAAGATCCAGCAGCTTTTGGTGGGTCGACACTTTAGACATATATTATGTTATACGCATTAATGAATTTTTGAAATTAACTATTTTAGACGCTCGTCGACACTCAAAAGCTCGATCTGGCCGAGCAAACGGAAGAGAAGCGGAAGCTAGTGTCGCAGATGATACACCTCGAGAAAGACCTGAAGACGGCGGAGCAGGAGGGAGAAAAGGTGAGAGAGAGAGCTGAGAGAGAGAGAGGGAGGGAGAGACAGAGACAGGGCGAGCGAGAGTGAGAGAGAGAGTCAGGGAGATCGAGATAGATCGATTGTTTATCGCTTTTCCAACCATTCAATACCAGGGTGACCTTGAACGTGGCCACCTAGCTGTCCAGCTCGACAACCTGCAGCAAGATTTGAAGGTAGCTAGAATCCAGTTTTGAAGAAGCTAAAAATCTTTAGAACCTCAAGAAGCAGCTCATCGAGATGGAGCAGGTCAACGACAGCCAGAGGAAGGCGATGGAGGAGATGAAGATGAGTGAAGATAGGAGGAGGGAGGCGATCGAGAGGGCACAAGCTGAGGAGCGGCATTGGAGGAATACGGTGGGTCTTGTTTTCTGGCTTTTCTCTCTGTCGCTGTCTCTCTCTCTCTCTCTCTCTCGCTCTCTCTCTCTTTCTTTCTCTCTCTATCTATCTCCCACTCTCTAGGCGGTAGCTGCAAAAAAGACGAGCGAGGAATACCACCGCTCCATTTACGAAGAACGCCTCGGCAACCTGCAAAGAAACTACGACACGCTCCACACAACGCACGAGCAATTGCAGACTCAAGCGGAACGATTACGGTAGGAAATTAGAATTTTTAAACGATTTTTGTTAAATTCGTTTGATAGATCTTTCTAATTCTTGTATTTGTTTAGACAAGAACTGAAAGAAGCCCTAAATAAGTCGAACAGCTCGACAAACCGCCTCCGGGAAGCCGAATCCCGGCTTGACGACGAACTACAGAAACGGAAACTCGTCGAAAAAGCGTTGGGCAGCATGCAAAAGGTATCTATTCAATATTATAACATTTCCATCAAAATGAAAGGTTTTATAGAGGAAAATCTGGCTAAAAATCACCACTTTTTCACCAAAACACCACTTGTTGAACACACTTTGCACTCGGTATAAAAATCGACGATAAGTTTTTGCACAAATATCCAGGGCACAAGAAAGGTAATACTAAAAAACTACCTTATTAAATTATCTATATTTTAATGATTTTCGCCATTTAAAACCTGGATTTCTTCGCCATTTTTCGTTTTCTTTGGTTTGAAAAATCACCCGCATCGCTTCTACTACCCAAAAAAAATATTCTGACAGCTCAGGGAATATTTTAAAGGGCCGGGTAAGCAGTAGAATCGACCCCTGCATCGACTAGGTCTCGACAGTTACACGACAACAAATTACACGTCTGACCGCCTTCTGATTCTGCCCAAACGTCTAGGAATTAAGTGCTATCAAAGGCGTTATACCCGTCTTTCGGCGCGTCGCGTAGTCGTCTAGACCTAGTCGATGCAAGGGGTTGATTTTGAGCCTTTATTCGCTATTATTTTTGGTTAGAATACACTGCTTCAACTATTCAGAAAAATATTCTGACAGCTCAGGGGATATTTTAAAGGGCCGGGTAAGCAGTAGAATCGACCCCTGCATCGACTAGGTCTCGACAGTTACACGACACAACAAATGACACCTCTACCGTCTCTTATTTTGCCCCACCGCCTAGCAATAATTGCTATCAAATTGCGATATACCCGACTTTTGGCGCGTCGCGTAGTCGTCTAGATCTAGTCGATGCAAGGGGTCGATTTTAGCCCGTTTTAGTGGTTTAAAGCTTTTTAAACCACTGTGTTTTGCGTAATAAAATCCACCCTCTCAAAAACAGCAGCCCCGTCCCCGGCGAAGCCTTACGCTGCGTGAGTGGCTATGCTCAATCCGGCCGTTCATACTGCTGCTCCTTCTCCTCCTCTTCACCGCCCTCATCTGGCGCTCACTCAATTGCACCTGGTAATTCGGCACGGCGAACGCGTCATTTGGAACGCTTGGAATGCCGGGTCCTACTGTAGCTTGCCGACCTGTGGCTTGCCCTGTAGCGTACCCGCTCGTTTTGCCGTTTCTGGAATGTCCCGGGTCTTATTGTCGCTAGGGGACTACACTTGCCTGTCATTTGGAACGCTTTGGACGCCTACTGTAAATCGGTATCCCTAATAATCGACCCGTCCGTTTGCTTGTAATTTGGAGCGCATTGGAATTGTGTGTGGCGCTTTAGCTCGCTCGGCGCGCAGGCCTTGCGACTTGCTTTCCTAACGTAGTGTATCGTATCCGGCCTGCGTCGATCGTAATTCTCGACGGTCAGTACTTGGCTTCCTACCGTAATTAGGAGGCGTAGCTGAATGCAACCATCGCTCCTGCGTCGTAATTTGGAATGTCCGGAATGATCTGGCTAAAAAAGGCAAATGCTTGCCGTATTTATCCGGAATTTTCGTGTTAAAGGGCGTGCGACAGACAGAAATTTGCTCGAGCGAACCAGCCATTTTCACTTCAAAATTGAGGTCAAAAATCTTGTGGATTTTTAAGCTGTTTGTGTTGGAGTTTTTTCACCCCCTTGCGTTACCCTGGCAACCAAGTATGTTTCATTTGCCCCTTCCAGGTCCATCTACTAATCCCCTCACCCTGCAAGCACCCATTATTTTCGGGGTTTATTACGATTTGTGGAATTAGCTATGCCATGCTATTTGTGGGATTTTTGGCCCCGCTCGTCGCATGGCTTCATCGCCTCTAGTTTTCCTATAAAATTTAAATTTGCAGATGGAGACCGACTGGCAAAAGTTGGAGCGGGAACTGCGGGATGAGCTGAAGCTGCTGAGGAAGGATAAGCTGGCAAATACGGCTGAGATTGAGGAGGTGAGCGGGGGGGGAAAGAGAGAGAGAAAGAGAGAGAGAGAGAGAGAGAGAGAGAGAGAGAGAGAGAAAGAGAGAGAGGGAGAGAGAGAGGGAGAGAGATAGAGAAAGAAAGAGTGAGAGAGAGTGCGAGAGATAGATAGAGAGAAAAGAGAACGAGAGAGAACGAAAGGGAGAGAGAGAGAGAGAGAGAGAGAGAGAGAGAGAGAGAGAGAGAGAGAGAGAGGGAAAGCGAGAGACAGGGAGTACAAGTCGAGAAAAGTTATTTTTAGCTAAAACGCCGCCTAACTCGGTGTGAAGTCGAGCGCCGAGAAATCGAAGCCGCTCGAGTCCGGCTTGAGAGAGAAGTGGCAGCCCTGAAGAAGCATGTTGACGCGGTAACCCTTCTTCCTAGTAGGGTTGCTAGTTACTACTAGTTAAGCTTAGACTTAGGCGTATGCTTAGGCTTTGGTATGGGCTTTGGTTTATGCTTTGGCTTCGGCTCGGAAAAGCTTACAAAAAAGCACCATGGAAAGATAAATTAACTGTGACTCGGCATCGGATTCTTTTTTCAGCTAGAAGAAGACCGGTCCCGTACCGACGAGGCGGTGAAGCAGACCGTCTCCGAGAAGCGAGCGATGGACAAGAGCCTGGCAGCGATGGAGAAGGAGAACAGCGAGCTGTACAGGAATTGTACACAGCTGCAGACACAGGTGGCGAACTGCTTTAAAGGGACTAGGAAGGCAGAGAATCAACCCCTGTTTCGACTAGGTCTAGACAAGAACGCGAAAATACGAAAATACAAAATAGGTTTGCGCAGGAAAAGACCAAATGCTTTCACGGGTCGCGCGGCTGTCTAGACCTGGTCGAGGACGAGATTGATTTTGGTGATTTCCAGTCCTTTTAAATTGCTATCACCATCGATAAAACTTGATACTTACAGATACAACACCTTGAACGTGACACGGGCACGAAGTCCGTAACAAAAATGCTGAAAGAACACGCCGAACTTGAGGCCCGGTTCGGGAAGATGTTACAGGAGAAGCGACAGGTAGGCAGAGAGAAAAAAAACGAGAGAGAGAGAGAGGGGGGAGAAAGAGCGCGAGAGAACGAGAGAGAGGGAGAGAAAGAAAAATCGCTCGTTTTCAGCTTGAGATGCTCCTCGAGCAGAAGGAGATGAACTACGCCCATAAGAAGAAGCTGCTCGAGTCCCAGCTGGGGCTTTTGAGAGAGCAGCTAGAAGCGGAGAGGAAGCGACGGTAAGAGGGTTCCTGATTCCCAAATGATCTCTGCTAGTCTACCCCCTTCTGTTCCCAAATGATCTCTGCTAGCCTGCCCCTTCCATTCCCAAATGATCTCTGCTAGCCTGCTAGAATAACTCACTTTTAGGGCCGAACAACGTCGTGCCCTTCCCGTCCAATCGTCGCGCATCACCGAGACGAAGTCATACGACTACCAGCGCACCCGCGCCGTGATGAGACCATTTAAATAATCGTGAGAAAGTTCCGGTTTCATATTGATGCATCATACTGTAGCCTAGGTACAAAGTGAACTCTATAAAATTGTTTCAAGGGGAATAGAAGTGCGAAAAAACGACCCCTAGCGTCGACTAGTACTAGACAGCTACGCGAAATGGCTAAGTAACGGTTCATACTGACTAATTACTCTCAAATTTAAGTTATTAAAATCTAGAGGCACTTACCAGCGTATTTTCGCGTGTCACGTGGCTGTCTAGACCTAGTTGAGCACGGGGACGAGCTACAGCTAGTTGATCTAGTCCCTTTAAACGTATTAGCCTGCAAAAATTAACCCCACGCTTTCACCCAATTACTTTCAAAATAACACTGCTTTTCCAACTGCCGCTAAATTCTAGAATATACCGTACCGCATGTCTTTTCCCCCATGTACTTTGTGCCTCAACTTAAACTACGCAACGATACTGCTGATTTATTGTCATTCCTCTAATTTTTGTGTGCTTTGTCGTCTAGTCGCGCTTGTGCTTGCCTGGTTCTGGTCAAGATCTCCATTTTAAGACCCATTTTTTGCTGGCTACATCTTAAAATTTGCATTCCCCCGGATAGAGAGTTGTGATTTTTTACTAGTAGGGTTGTTGTTTTTCCATTGAAAGAGCTCAGTATTCAGTTTTATATTTATTAGAGGTAAATCGATAAACATTTTGATAATGCATGATGAGATAAAATTTTTCCCCATTTATTAAAGCTCCAGCGCGCACAGACAAAAAAGGATCACAAGTCAGGCGAGGGCAAACAGGACGAGTGGCTGGAACATTAAGAGAATACACACTCGAAAATACTGTTCAAAGACGTACAAAAAAGGTATCACAGCGAGAGGAACGCATTAAATAATAAGGCATAATCCATTGATCACGGGGTTTACATAGCGGTCTCGATCGGCGCCTTCTTGTTCTTTTTCTTATCGCGACGGCGCGACCTCTTGCCGCTGCCCGACGGCGCTTGCGACTTGCTGCCATCTGAAAAGTCGGATGTCAGTGGCTGAGCAACCCAACGCTTACCCCAGCTTCGAAAATTTCGCTATTCAAAAGGCTAGTAGACCAGGCGAGAGGACTGAGCATTTCAGGCGAGCACCCGATTGTTTGATGTCGAGCAAATGCTAATCTAAACAATGCTAAATTCTACCGCTGGCGTGGATGGAAAGCTTCCGGAAGGAAGCGTGGACGTCAATCGGGAAAATGTAGGCATCGATGGCTGCCAGCAGTGCAGTACGATCAGCTTCCGAGTCGTCCTAAAAATTTTTTCCGAAGTTGCCAATTTGCACGTACACCTTCGAGCAGTATGTCGATGAGCCCGACTCTGATGGCATAATTCTTTCCCATGGCCGTATTCCCGACAAGCCACCCATCACGGACCTGAATGCGATATGATGGTTAAAACCAGTAAATCACATCCCCCGAGGAGCTTAAAGGTTAATGCTCTAATTTAAAAGGATCAGGAAGGCCCAGGAAAAATTGGCATAAAACGGACTTCGTTTCTCAAATTAGCATAAATCTTCTTTGCTCCCCCTGCCTCGCCCCACTCTCTCTATTTCTGCATTGGCATTTTTGGTTGGCTCCTTACCATTTATAAATGAACCCTGATCTACTTACTGGGTCTTCCTTATCGCTTTAAACCAGTTGACGTACCCGGGTAGGCTCCACAGTCTCAGGCATCGGCTCCAAGCACACCAACATCGAATAGTCTTCCAGTCCCAGATCCTTGAGGAGCTGCAACTTGGGCTTTAGGCAAAAAAGATAGCGTCTTCTGAACATAACTGGCGACTTATTCGAAGGATTCCCGGAGCTAGGTGCGGGGACACTTGAGCCTGATCCCTCCCATAATTAGATAAGAATTCACCGTCAAGTCACTGTCGAGCCGGGCGATAAACCGCTCGCGGTCGCCGGGGCGGAGCTAAAGTCCTCCTGGGATGTCGCGACGGAAGTCCTTGTCTCGGCCAGTTTCCATATCTGAGGCTAGCTCCCGCTCGTAGCCCTAAAACGGATGAACGTAAAAAAAACAACAAAAAAACCTTCAAATCAAACTTGAGCGGCGAGAGGACACCCAGAAAGAAATTGCATTTCAACCCTGGCCCCGTCTAGGACCTATGAAAGTACTAACTTTGCATAATTCTTGCCGAAAACCGATCATCAAAAAATGAAAACCACACCCTCCTTCCCTTTTTGTAAGCTAGCTCCACTTCCGGTGTATGCTAATTGCCTCCTAACAAAGAGGGCGGTGGATATTTTTACAAAAACCTATTTTTAATGGCCAAAATCACAATTTTTCAAAATTTTTGGGTGCATGCAGTCAATTCCGGGCCCTTCTTTACCTATTGACGTTTCTTCCCTAAGTCTATTCAACATCACTTTAATTTTAATTTTAATTCTTTTTAATGATTTCTTTTGATTTCGCTTCATATGTAGTGCAATGAATAGACAGGCAAAAGATGTTTATTCGCAAAACAATCGTGTATGGCATCCGACGCGCCGTAAGTTCCGTCAGTTGTCAAAAATGTATATCAGCAACTGGGCGTGAAGGCTGATTCCATCGGACGGCTGCCATACGGAGGCAACGTGGAACGCTAAAACAGAGTTAATACTTCTAAGCAGCATTTATGGATTGAATTCGTCTTTCTTTTCCGAACCCACATTTTCCATATACACATATTTGGAAGAATTGCAGTGCCGTTGGTCGCTGGGAGTCCTGAAATTGGTTGCGAAATTGGATATGTTCGCGCGCGCAGCATACCTGACATAAACGGTTTCTACGGCGTTCGTTTTATCGACCCCGATGAGTTTTCGGCCAATTTCCCCCTCATTTAAAGGGACCGGAAACAAAAAAAGATAAACTACCCAAAAGCTAGCACCAAATTGATTCTTTGCGAAAAACAACGGTTTTGCGGGCAAATCTTCTTTTTGTGTGTTTGGGAATTACATGTCGTAATCGTAAAACATCAATCTTAGCGAAGCCCCCGGCAATTTAAACGGCTGGGAGGATCAAAGTAACTTGAGCGTTGCCAGAAATCGCGTTAGAATTGAGGAATTTGATGCGGCAGCCACAGTAGTGCTATTGGAGTTACCTACATAATGACGATTTTGATAATGCCGATTTTACATAATGCCGATTTTACAGAACGCCGATTCCCATAATGCCGAATTTTCAAAGAGAGCGTTTCGACTCTAGATTCAGGGGCAGTCCCTAGGAAAATGGACGCTTCACTTTTTTCAAGGTATTTTCGCTGCGTTAATATAGACAGCATAGGCTTTCCGGGAAAAATTGGAATATCAAACACTAGGATCATGGTTTAGCACCCTGAAAAAAGTCGCAAAATCGTATTATCAGGATCGGCATTCTACGAATCGGCATGCTGTAAAATCGGCATTATGAAAGACGGCATTCTGTAAAATCGGCATTATGAAAATCGGCATTATGTAAATCGGCATTATGGGTATACCGTCATATTGGCCTGGTAACAGGCAAGTTATGTCTTTCTAATGGTTATAATTGTTTAATAGTCGATACCTCGAGGGCATTATCGACCCATTGCTTCATTCTTTCCGCCTCGATCCCATCCACACCTTCCATGAACCCATCGTGGTCGTGTTCAAGCCTCCTCGCGAGGTGCTCCTAGAAAACGATAACCCCGTTGCGGCCCATTGTCGTTCAGAAAGTTTGGATCGCCTGCTGAACTTCAAAAGCCGTACCAAGCATTTTGCTGGCTTGATGGCCTGAGGATCATCATCATTGTCAGGATCATCCAACTCCCAGTACCGGACGGCTTCAATGAGGTGCACCAATCCTCGTTGCTGAACTCTTGCCGGACAGATGACCAGCTAAATGAAAATTGATGATTGTCGTGGAGAGGATACAGCCGTTTCGCCTAAACATCCCATATGACCTAAAAGCCGTTTCGCCTAAAGCCGTTTCGCCTAAATTTTTGCCCGTTTTTGGAGCTGCACTTCAGACCAAAAATTCAAAAATTTTGAGATATTTTAGAATTTATGAATTTTGAACAGAATTCTGGAAGTTTTTTTTTTTTCTGAAACGCAGTTCATCCTTTTAGCGAAAGGCGGGCGGGGGGGGGGGGGGGGAGGGGTTATGAATTTCGGCATGTCGAAAAGAAGCGCGTGGGCGCAGTTTTTGCGTAAATTTACAGAATTTCGAATTATAACATCTCGAATGACAAAATCTCGAATGGTCAAAAACTCGGATAAAAACAAAAACGAAAACAACAAAAACAAAATGCCAATATCCACGGACCCACGGATATCATAACCTAGTTTCTTAGTTTTTGATCCAGCATCGATTTTTGAGGCGGTTCGATAGAAGCTACAAAGCTTTGAGTATGCATTGGTAACTATTGAGCAACAAACTTGACAACCATGACCTAGTAACCAAATATAAAGTGTTTTCACATTGTTTTAGCAAAATTTGGGCCTATTTGAATAGAAAAAAAAAAACTTTTTAAAACGTTAGAAAAACCTTGAAAAGCTCGAAAATTTTGTCATTTTTGGGTCGAAAAAATGGATTTTTCGACCTAAAATTAAATTTTTTTAATTAAATTTTGTAAGGTTTGTATGCTTGGGAATAGCTATAAACAATTTTGAAACACTGCCACTATTTATATAAAAAATCTAGGCTTGTGCCGAACAAAATTTGGTTCCCCCCGCCCCCCGCGAATCCTAAAGAACCCCCAAAATATTGATCGACCAAGGGTTCGATTGCCTTCCAGCTGCGAAGCACGGAGCGCTGTTGAATGATAGCTTAGGGCCGCCCTCCCTCCCCCCACATGATCGTGTTACCGTACTCACATCGGTCAGCAGGCCAACTCCTTCGATACTGTAGACGCAGGAAAGCTTAATCACCGGCGACGATCGTTCACCGAATGTCCATCCGCACCAAAAAATCGCGCATCTCGTCTGCATCGTGCCACGCAGCATCCGTCACAAAGCCCTGTCAAAGTGTCGCTTTATGATCATCGGCCTCTTTTGGCCAAAAAAAATAATGTCTCTTCCATCTTTTTTTAATCAAATGTTGTAAAGTTTTGAGGTTAAACAGTTGCGAAACACTTGCTCTGCTTACAGGGTGTCCCAAAAAACAAACCATCTGGCATTTCGCCGTGTTACATCCAATCGGCCCCAAATTTGGACCTGAGGTGTATCAGACCCTAATTAACAACAATCCTGGCTTATAGCCCTGTAGCTACAATAATTTTCAAGTTACGCCAAAAACAAACCTATTTTTCTATTTTTCACAGGGTTCTCGTGGAATTAGACCCCCTAGAAATTAAGTGAAAACGATCCGGTAGACCTACTTTACCTTAAGAAATTTTTTTCAGAGTAAAATTAATTAAATAAGCTTCGATTTAAGCAATTTTTACAACGCAAAATTACCCAAGTTCTTAAGCGAAATTAGGGATTCACGGCCGGAAGTCGAGGCAAATCGATGCAAAGTCCAAAAAAGAGCCGAAAAAACTGTTCAGCATTCCGGGAAAAGCAGTATTTTCGTTATAACTCGAGAACTACTATAGCTACGGGGCTAAAAGTCAGGATTGGTGTTATTTAGGGTCTAATACACCCCTGGTCCAAATTTGGGGCCGATTGGATGTAACGCGGCAAAATGCCAGATGGTTCGTTTTTTTTTGGGACACCCTGTATATTCTAGAAGTTGTGCCCTAAGGAAGAAGTTCTTTTCCCCCTGCGATAAACCCGCACCCCGACCCCCTATAATGCGATAATACCGAATTTTCAACGCGCGATCATGCGCTTTTGTGAAAATCATGGTGTCATAGTCGCCCAGCGACTTACCCCGTACAATACTAGCTGGTCGAGGCTGCCTCGATAATTGAGTCGAATCTTGCGGAAGACATTCCACCAGCGTCGAGTGTAGTCATACCCATCCCCCCATACATCGAGCGCGTTGACGGTTGCGAGCCAGCGGAAGAACGGGCTCACCTGCAATTGCCAATGTCCACAGGGTCCCCCAATAAAGTACCAATCGGGAATGTGGTAATCTGACTCCTCTGGAATTTTCTATCAGAATCTCGAAAATCAGAATCTCGAAAATTAGTATCTCAAAAATCAGAATCTCGAAACACGGAATCTCGAAAATCAGAATCTCGAAAATCCACACCAAAATACACTTTTTTAGGCAGATAGGTGTTGTCCGGCGGCTTTTTAACTCTTTTTGATCGGCAAGAAGTATCCAAGATTTATAGAAAAGCCCAGCACCCAAAACCCGCTTCGCGGGTCTTGGGCGCTGGAATGCGGCCTTTGCATGAGAAATTTGACTTTCCGATAGCTTGGGTCCTTCGGACCCCTCCCTTCATCCGACCACACCCGCGCGTGCAACTTGCAAGAATGAGAAAATTTGTATTTTCTGGAATTATGCAAAGTAGCCCTCTCTGGCGCCGGACACACAAACACAAAGATACGCGACCAAATTATATAAGGTAGGATTTATGGAAGAAGTATAGAAATTTCCGAGATGCTAATTTTCGAGATTCCGATTTTCGAGATTCTGATTTTCGCGATTCTTATTTTCGAGATTCTGATTTTCGAGATTCCGATTTTCGAGATTCTGATTTTCTAGATTCTGATTTTCGAGATTCTGATTTTCGACTCTCGACCTCTCGTCCGATTTTGGGACCAATTGGATGTACACGGTGGTTCGTTTTTTTGGCACACCCTGTATGTCAGAGAAAAATACGGTATTTCACAGCACTGGGAAATTCCGCGAGTGCCGTTCGCTTGTGCAATTGGAAAATGAAAGTTAATACCCACGTCGATTGGCCCCGGTCTGCTGGAAGAACTGCAGCCCAGTCCGTCTGTGCACCGCGTATAATTTTGCGTGATTTCCAGGTGGTCTCCAATCGTGACCCTTGACCTTCGCAAACATCCAATCAATCGATCGAATGAGACTGTCCAAATGCTGAAAAAATGTACCAAAGATGCGACTACCCCCTCACAATCAGTCCTCGTCTAAAAACTTTTTTTAGGGCAGTCGAGCGCGGAGCGCGTTGCGTGACTAGCGGAACTCCAAAAATAACCCAAAGCAAACAGAACAAACCGTAGTCCAGCCTTGTCCGTCTCTCTAAAGGGGATAACATGGCCGAATTTCAACAATTTAGAGCAAAAACCCTGCCAGTTTGTGTAAGAATTTTTGTTGGCCATGAAAACAGACGAATCGGGTCGCAGCCATGACACGCAACGCATTCGTTAGAAATTCTATCTCCAAATGGCGGACAAACGCGTGTGCGTTGCGTGTCGATGCGTAGTTGAATCCAAATAGGATCGATGCCCGAACTATTTATGACTATGCCTTCCCCGTCGCTTGATTTTTTCGCATGAACGGGAGGGGGACTGAAATTTTTTGTACAAGTCTAGAAATGTCTAGTAACTTAATAGAAAGTGTTTTAATAGTGTTTTTAGTAAAAAAATAACTACATGAAGCTAAAATTTTGGTCAAAAACCTATATTTTCGACACTTTTTTAATAAAATTTCGCATACGTTTCACGTTTAAAAAGTAAAAAACGATTTAGAAATACGGCGCCCATTAATATTTGCAAAATTAGATCCTTTGGGAAAAAGTTGAATTCCCCCCGATAATGCGAAAGAACCCGCCCCTTGAAGAGACGGCTTGACCCCGCGAAGCTGGCGGTTGAGCTCTAATACTTTGGCTTTGGCAACCAAAAGTCGGAAGCCGTCACACGGAAGCGCACAAAAAGTTATGAAATCACCTCATTTTCTCGAACGGTCGAATCGTAAGCCGTACGGTATTGTCCTCACTTTGTATCCTGACCTCCCATCCCGCCATATCCCAGAGTTTGACCGTCATTCCGTGTGCCAAAATCTGAAAAAAAGTCGTACGTATAAATAGCCGGCACCGCACCACCGCGCGATTCGCATGGCCGGAGTTTCGCCTTTTTGGAATTGTAGACGGATTCCGACGAAGCGGTCGGGCCGTTGCGCGTCGGATCCGCGCAAAGTGCACAGAAATTTATAGGTGGCAAATTTAATACGCCCCGATCCTGTTCAGGATCAACACACCACAGCTGCCCACGGATATACAGGGTGGCGATTAAGTATTTGCGCCAGGAAGGGCAGCGTAAAAAATGACCGAAGCGTGTCTCGGAAATTATTTTACGACCATAATGTAGCTAATATAACCTAATTACGGATACCAAAAAATCTACGGCCCTAATTCTTAAATTTTCAAGTTATGACCTTTGAGAGAAGCGCCCAAACATCAGCGAGGGCCGCGCGTATCTCATCACTTTGTTTAAGCTTTTCAGCCTAAATATCTCAGTTGGCCAAAACAACAAGTGGTCTTTATATTCATTGCAATGCCCTTTAGCGAACGTAGTAGTCAGAAAAATTATTTCTAATCGGTTCCTAGATTTATTCGTAGTTTTCTCGACCACCAAAATTGAGCCGCGCGGGAGGCTTTTTCACGTAAAACACAAAATGTCTCAAATTTCTGCAATCACTTGTCGAAGATGTTTTCCATGATGGGGACTTGGTTAAGCGATCCAAACGGTCCGGAAAAGCTTAAGGGCGTTCAAAAAGCTCAAAATGTTTGCACAAACCGATGGAATGAAATGCATGGTTTTGCGACTCGTTTGCTCCACTCTTAAAAAATCATGGGCTGGAGAATTTAGCTTTTCTCGCTTTAGCTAAAGTGGCTAGTAAAGAGACGCAAGAATTACCTACATTTTGATAACAAAACGAAGAAGATACCTCAAAGGTGCGATTTTTTAGAATGCATTCTTCTGCGATAAGTCGCTCCGAGACAGGATGCGCGGCCCTCGAGCTTTGCCAAATTTTACTTTCGCTTCCGTGCCCTACTCATGACTCCCTGTTGCCCATATCCATTTTTTCTAGCAAGTTCAGATAGCTCTTTCCACGATCAAAGATCGGGAAATATATCCAGCTTCTTCAAAAAAATTTCTGAGCTCCTCAAAAATGAAGAAAATCCATACAAAAAAAAACGCGGTTTTACAAGTTTAGACAAATTAAAATTGTGTGGTGAAGCGGTTTCCTGTTTTCACCTTGCAGCAGATATAGCAAAAAATTCTCTACAAAATTGACTTATTTGTTTTTTCTGCCGACTACGATTTAGCTCCTAAAAACGTGCTTGAAACAGGCGCAAATACTTAATCGCCACCCTGTATGAAAAGAGTTTCAAATTTTCGAAGTTGATTCATCGACAACGGCAATTGTTGCGCAAGCGCTGCCGCTTCGATTGGCGGCTAGGAACCAGCCCCAAGGAATAGAGGTGTAAAAGCACGAAATAGGGAAAAAACTAGCATTTCCATACTCCCACCCCCCCTTTAAAGGTACTGCTGCATTCCGGTAAATACCGCTGCGTAGATACGGCCGTCCAGACCGTGTGGACGGGAAGACAGGCAATTTTAAGGCATACCTCAAGGTTTTGGGCATCTTGTGGCAAATTTCCCTCGCGACCGCAGATGTGCATCTCGGCTGTGGCCGCCGAAAACTTTCGGGGGAATAAGCCACGCTCGTTAATGGCCCGTCTGAAAGAGGTATCGCGCCAGTCGGGATGTCGGGCTACCCTTCAAGCCTTGGATGCCCCGCCGACACAGGCTCCCCCTGGCTCCCCATCTTCCCCAACCGTGCCTTTAATCCAAATGTCATTTTTCACGCCGAAACATCATTTTTAGTTTTATTCTTGATCATTTTCGACTTCGCGGGATCGAATGGGCCTGGAACCGATGAGATTTAGGCTCTAGTTCCTTTCCCTTCTAGTCAACGTTGGCTTCATCAGACGGACGGACTGGGACCACAGCAAAATTATCGTAGTTTTTTTGCTCGATATTTGCGCGATGCCCCCTCTCAGAAACCCAAAGCCCCCTTCCCCCCGGCCCGGCAGAAAGGTAAAACGAGTTACCTGAACGATTTGCTGGCCCGATGCAAAGCGAGCCATTCGCAAAAGTTCTGCTGATCAAGCACAGCCGAAAGGAGACTGACGGGGAGCCGGCCGATCGGAAACATTTGCCAAGCCTGAAGGGGAAAAATAGAGAGTCTCACCGTAGCCAAAAGTTGATATAGATCAATAGGATCTAAGTGCCCGCGGACGATCAGCAATGAGTTTGAAATTAGTGTTTGCGGGAAACCTGACTAGGACTACATGTGATTGCCCAGAAAGTGACCTGCATTTGAAAGATGATACTGGACCATCAACCATCTGCCCGATGAAGTCTGCCGTCCCAAGATAACCGCTCGTGGCATTAATGGCCAGAGCTTATTCCAATTGAGTGTGGATTTCGTTCAGCAAAGGTTCTGCTTCGCTGTGCAAGGAGGCGGTGAGTGCCACTGTTCCTTTACTCGAAAACCATTTTCAAACCTCCTCTTCAAAAGATACAAGGAGAAGCTAGAGAATTCCTGAATTGTCACTGCCAGACTGCCCTCTCTTCAAAAGATACAAGGAGAAGCTGGAGAATTCCTGAATTGTCACTGCCAGACTGCCCTCTCTTCAAAAGATACAAGGAGAAGCTGGAGAATTCCTGAATTGTCACTGCCAGACTGCCCTCTCTTCAAAAGATACAAGGAGAAGCTCCTTCATCCGAATACTCCGAGCTTGCGGCGTCCTAAACGGCCGACGCTAGCCTGCCAGCATAAGCAAAAAACGCATGAAAAAGTCGTAAGCGCAGAAGGAACTGTCCTTTTCAAATGACGGTATATAATGTGAAGAATTGCTGCGATTCATACAACTTTCTTTTCGGCACATGTTTATGCAAAATGTGGAGGAAAATTTTTGAAAAGACAACCCGTAACAATGTAAAGTAGAAGAAACTGTCAAAATTATGAGAGGAGCCAACTCGATATAGAGCTAGATAATTTACACATAAATGTTTTCAGATGTGGCTTGTGGCTTGAGGCTTGTTGCTTCCGTGACGACGTCGGGCTTTGGGCTATTCTTCACGCTGAAAAAATAATATTAACGAAGGTATATGATTATGGTGAAGCACGACGAGCCGTATGATAATTTTTCATACCGAAAGCATTATTTCAGGATTTGGAAGGCTTTGACGAAATGGTCGAACATGGTATTCAATTAAAAAACTCCAGCAAAATTGACAGGACAACGCAAAATACCTCATTGAGCCAGGAGATTACACCTTGCAAATGTTGTTCACGGAGATGCAGAGGCATCATTCGTCGACGGTTACCACTGGTCCCTCTCTGGAGCATATTCTGCAGGATGGACTTGCTGATCGGGTAGCCTCGTTCCTTCAACATTTTCACCCAACTATCCGTGCCGGCAGTCGCTAAAGTGAACCAATACATTTCGATTTACGGAGGGGGTAGCCAGCAAAAAAGACGTGGAACTTCCTTACCGTTTTTAAGGCAATAGTCTCTAATCCTATCCATCCAAGCTTCAATATATTGTGGCAAAGATTCGTGTTCATTGGCAGGTATCTGAAAAATTATCAATTTACCAATTACCAATTACTAACATCGACAATCAGGGGCACACCAGCCTTCTAGGCCGAATATTCCGGGTCTTTGTCCAGAAGACAGCGAGAACCAAGCAAAATATCACCTTATCAACTTCCATAGCGTCGTCTCCAACAGCTTCGTGCTCATCGAAGAAGGTCTAGAAAAAGATTGCTTTAAAAGCCAAGTCAGAAAAATGCTCACCAGCAAATCCTCGCCGGTGAATTCGTGAAGTGCGTGCAGATGAACATCCATGTACAGATCGACGGCGTAGTACGGGCTCGTTTCGTCCGATGCCAACTCAGCAGTGTTGACATCATCAGCCACCTGAAAAGAGCTTATTACTAACAACCACAATCAATCAGAGCAGGTTCTTGCTTCTAAACACGAACATTCCCGCAGCTAGTCGGTGATGAAAAGTATCCATACCTCCATTTCGAAAGGAGATATCCCATCACGGACGATCTTCGCTTCCGAGACGCTGTCGGTAGATCCGATTGCTCAAACATAGTAATTTCTTGCGAAAGAATAGAAAAACTGACCTTTACGGTCCCTGACGACAATCATAGATGGCGTTTTTAGGTATCCTGGCCATAAATCTTCTTCGTTCGTACCCATATCTGCAAAAAAAAAATATATATACGACCCGGAAAAGAAGCGAAGACGTGCTTGAATCATTGGAACTACCAAATAGTAAGAAAATTTCGCCCTTTTTTGGAAATGCGAGCGTGCGCGGAAGCAATATACGGACCCAATTGAGAGCAATGCTTTCAAAATTAATCTTCAAATGTTAAATCCGTGGCCTAAAATCCGGAGACCCATAAGCCCCGCCAAGCCGTCATCAGTAGCGTGTCGGGCTGGAGTTCTCGAGTTTTTTTCAAAAATACTTGGAAAAACAGAAGAAAACACGCTTTTTCTAATTAATCCGTTCAGATAAAAATGAAATTTTGTGTAGAGCGCGAGAGAGCCACTTGCAGCCGCTTTTTGGGCACCTACTTTCTTGAACCTCGCCTTGAAAATGTCACCAAAAAAGCCTAGAAATTTTTTTTTCGCACAAATCTATCCATATTCCGCAATTTCTATCTAATTCCTGTCGTCTCTTTAGAATATCAGCCCTCCATCTTCAAATCATAATTTCAGGTTTTAGGGCGTCGGGTGCTACGAGTGCGGCGGCAGCGATTTGCCAGCGGACATGAGAAAAACGGCGACAGATGGGACCAAATTCCTGCACGAGAGAAGAAAGAGGATGATAAGTTAAATTTTAAATTCATGCATATAATATTGTAGAGAAAATTATACCGTTGCCGGGTTGGCGCTTCTTCGTCGCTCGCGAACGCGCCGAGCCGTCGCTGATCCGCGTCCTCTTCTCGTCGTCGGTGCCGCCGCCGCCGCCGGGCACCTGAAAAATCCGTCTTTCCAAAGGTAAGTAATAAGATGTGATTTTCTATCTTGTGCCGAAATTTCATAACGTCGAATTTCAAAATGTCGTAATTTCTTAATTTTAGACTGTCAAAATCAGTTGTATAAGATTTTGGGTTTCCGGAAAAACTGGGTTATGTGAATTTCTTCCTTCTGAATTTCGACATTGTGGATTTCGGCTTTCCGAATTTCGAGATTTTGAATTTAGATATTTTCGATTTCGACATTACGAAGTTCAAAATTGTGAAATTTCGACATTCTGAAATTTCGACATTGTGAATTCGGCATTATGGTTTTCGACATTTTGCAAAGATTTAGATGTGCGCATTAAAGTCCAAGCTTCTCCTCAATGCGGCACCCTACACTCGATCCGCAATCTACGCCCGAACCACTAAGTAACTAAGTACGACGCGCAACCCGACCGGATTCCTCAATTGTCCATGCTAGCCCGCCACTACAGTAAGTGATCACTAGCCGATGAAGCTAGATATGAAAATAACAATAGATTCCGCCTTTTCTTGCTTTTTCCACCCAAAATGTCACGAAGAAATCGAGCTAATTCCTAAATGGTGAGTGCTAGTTTGCCCGCACAACAAAAGTTACTCGCCGATTCAGCCGATTCCTCAATTCTACCTGCCCGTGCCACCAAAGTGAGCCGTTTTGACGAAACCGAGCCGATTCCTGGATTGTCACTGCTAGTCTGCCCACTACGGTAAGTAATTATTAGCCGATGAAGCTGAAAATCAAAATCAAAATAAATTCCCCAATGGTATGTGCTAGTATACTTCTAGAATAACCGACCCCGAAGCAAGCTGGTCATTTCCTCAATTCCCCCCTGCTAGCGAAGCCCCTACCGTAACCAATTTGACAGATTTAAGACGGATTCCTCAATTCTCCGAGCTAGCCCACCCCCCTAGAGTACGCCGTCACGAAGAAATGGAATGGATTCCCAAATGGCGTCCGCCGGTCTGCCTCTACTTTTACCCGTAAGAAAGAATTAGCATCTATTCCTCAATTTTTACTGCTAGGCTACCGGCTACCGTAACTTCGCAACCCGAAATCAAGCTAATTCCCAAATGGTGACTTCTAGCCTGCCCTTACAGTCCAAAATCCGTAATTAGAGCCATTTAAAAAAAGATACCAACCGAAATGGCCGCCTTCGTGCCGTCGGCCAACAGACGAAGCTGGCTGCGATTCCCAAACAGTGACTGCTAGCCTATCATCTACCGTAACCCTTTAGACCGAATTTTCCCCGATTCCTAGATGGCCACTGCTAGCCCGCGAATACCGTAGGTAATTATTACTCGATAAAGCCGATTCCCCAATTCTCCCTGCTAAATTCTCCCTCCCACTAACGTAACCCTTTAAGCCAAACTTAACGCATATTCCCCAATTGTAAACGCTCGTTTACCCCCCAACCGTAAGAAATCCATAACCATAGCGTTTGCAAGATAGAAACGCACCAAAATGGCAATGCGACTCGATCGTCTCGCCATCCGATAGGCGCTCGGGATGCCGGCGAATGGCGTTTCGTTCGCGCCTCGATGCGCCGTTGGCCTAAAAAAAAGTAAGCTGACGCTTGAAATGAAAATACCTCATCCTGTGGACGGTACGCTCGCGCCGCGCATTGTCTCAATAAAGACTGGTTGTAGCCGCGACGACGTGCCTGGAACAGTTCATATAACAAAAGTTTTCCGCTGAATCATTTTTAAAGGACCTGCAAAGTGCCCGAATCTGCCCCTTTATCAACTAGGTCTAGACAGCTACGCGACAATCCCAATCACGTACACAGTGTACTCTGGTAGGATCACATATTATAGCGTCACCAAATCGGATAGACAGTTGTCATTTGGGGTGTTGCGGAGCTGCCAAGACCTAGTCAATAAAGGGGGTCGATTCTGGCACTTCCGGGTCCCTTTCAGTCAGAGTTTCATAGGTTTTCCAGGTGATACTATTAGTAGCTTTCTATTTATTTACAGTAGCTCTTCAGCAGAAATGAAACAGATTCCTAAATGGCCTCTGCTAGCCTAACAGCTACAGTAACGCCAAGAAGAAATGAAATTGATTCCTAAATGGCCTCTGCTAGCCTACCAGCTAAAGTATCCAAACGACAACCAAAGAAATGAAATCGAATCCTAAGTGGCCTCTGCTAGCCTGCCACCTACAGTAACCCTACGAAGAAATCGAATCGAGTCCTAAATGGCCTCTGCTAGCCGCCAACAAAAACAAGAAACCCTAAGAAGAAATTGAAATCCATTCCTAAGTGGCTCTGCTACGCCTGCCACCTACAGTACCCTCCTGGAAGAAGTCAAATCGAAGCTATCACAATCCTAAATGGCCTCGACTATTGCCAATGCCACCTACAGTAACCCTAAGAAGAAATCGAATCGATTCCTAAATGGCCTCTGCTAGCCTGCCACCTACAGTAACCCTAAGAAGAAATCGAATCGATTCCTAAATGGCCTCTGCTAGCCTGCCACCTACAGTAACCCTAAGAAGAAATGAAATCGAAGCCACGAAACCACACGCAACCTTTTCCTCAATAGTTACTGCTAGCCTACCCCTACTGAATCCAAATAATAACCAGAAATTGAAAAGAATAAACGGACCGTATCCACTTGGTCCCCGTCTGCGATTATCGAATCGGTGATTCAGCTGTCGCCCCTTCCTCTCCCAATTGTCGTCCCAACTAAACAATAATCTATTAAATAAAATTTTGCATGTAATTCACTACCCCTCAAAGTAAAACATCCTACCGAGTAAATGGAAAGAAATTAACGAACCTAACAGCTTGAAGTTGCCGATCGTCTCGACGAGGTCGTTGGCGCCAAGCCGACCGTCGCGCGTCGAGCTGGCCGGCGCGTGGCCTCGCGTCCTGCCTCGTCACGCCGCAAGGCAGCCACCTGCAAAAAGCCCTTTCATACACATTTCCTTGGTTTCCAAAATCATCTTTGCTGACTCAGATTCCCAAAGCAACACTGCTAGCCTACCCTTGCTCAAAAAAGCCCCAAGCGCGGCTCAACAATTGCCGAATTCCAACGGCACGTATGTGATTTCAGTAAGAAACTATCGAAAATTGCCTCAATTCCCTGAATGACCACTGCTAGCCTGCCGCTTACAGCAACCCCTAAGGAGAAATGAAATCGATTCCTAAAAGGCCACTGCTAGCCTACCCTCAACAGTACGCGTTATAACAAATTGACGTAATTCCATATTTTTGTTTGTTTACGCATACGCATATGCTACGGCACTACGCTTACGGTATGAAACGGCAAAGAAATCGTGCGTGTTCCCTGTTAGTCACTGCTAGCCTACCCGAACTTTCGGAAATTCGTAACCAGAGCAAATGAAAGAAATAAACGGACCAAACTGCTTGGCGTCGTCGATCTTTCCGCCGATACCCGCGGCTCGTCAATCTTCATACGCCGAAATGCAGGCGTTGCGCATGATGTCCTTCTCGGCAACCGCCCTCGAGCAGTACGCAGCGACTTACAGTAAGCCCTAAGGAAAAATGAAATCGATTCCCAGTAAGCTTGCCCTTTACTGAAACCGCAACTCGGGCACGTCAAAGAAGTGTAGAAAGTTCTTGGGACTTCGTGCCATGCCCGCGAGGGTTTTTCGAGCCGCTCGATCCTCGCCGATCCCTCCCGAGATGCTCGTCCGTCGCCGTGTCCTCCACGGACGTCTCGCCGACGTTCGCTGGCTGCGGATCTTCGGCCGTCGTCATGAACTGGTCGTTCGGCGGCCTCGTCTCTGCGAGTGCCGTCTACCCCATCGTGGCGATGCCGCCTGGAAAGATTTTAACACACGCTTCCTTCGTTTCAAAATTGATCTCTGGTAGCCAACGTTTCCCAAAGCATCACTGCTAGCCTCCCCCTTGCTCAAAAAAGCCCCAAGCGGAATTCGCCAATTTCCGAATTCCAACTGCTCGTATGCCATTAAAGTCAGAAACACGCAAAAACTGCATCGATTCCTAAATGACCACTGCTAGCCTGCCCTCAACAGTAATCGTTAAAACAAATTCGACGTGATTCCACATTTTTGCTTGTTTACGCATACGCAGACGGCTACCACTACGCTTGCAGTAAGAAACCACAAAAAAATTATGCGGATCCCCAAAACGTCGTTAAACTACCTACAGTAAGAAATCCGTGACGAGATCAATAGAAAGAAAGAAACGAACCGAACTCGTCGCTCGCCACGAACAGCTCGGTGACGCGCTCCGGCAGCTGAGACGGCGCCGAGAAGTTGATGCGCCGGGAGAAGTCGTCACCGCCTCTTCCATGCGATCCTGCAAATAAAGTCTTAACAAACGTTTCCTCGATTTTAAAATTCATGTCTGTTGATCGACGATTCCCAAAGTAAGATGCTAGCCTAAATCTTGCCCAAAAAAGCTACCCTACCACTTACAGTAACCCCGAAGAAGAAATGAAATCGGTTCCGAAATGGCCACTGCTAGCCTAAATCTTGCCCAAAAAGGCCCCAATCGGAGTTCGCCAGTTTCCAAATTCCAATTTGCTCGTATATCATTTCGGCAAGAAACTATGAAAAACTGCCTCAATTTCCGAAATGATCACTGCTAGCCTACCACTTACAGAAAATCCATAAAAAGTCTAATCCCTAACTCGAGAAATTGAAACAAAACAACGTACCTTACTTTTCGTCATCTACACAACTTCAGCATCGTCATCTCGCGTCGGCAGAAGATCCCTCAGATGGCGCCCGATCCTCACGCGTCCACCTTCGCCTCTACCGATAAAAAAAGATTAGCCGAAAAGTAAAAAAAACGTATCTTCTCCAGTTGTGTCCAGCTCCTGCTCTTGTGCGGCTTGCTGTCGTCGCTCCGCTTCCGCTCTCGTTCCGCTCCTCTTCACGCCTCATCCCGGTTGCTGCCTGAAAAAGCCATTTAACAAAAAGCAAGAAACCGAACGGAATTCACGTGAGGAACAATTAGAAACAAAATGAAGCGTGAAAGAGAGAGATATTTGCCAAATAAAGCTAAAAACACCAAAAAAAAGCTTTCAATTCCATCAAAAAAAAGCAAGAAATCAAGTAGAATTCATGTCAGAAACAATTAGAAACAATACAGGCGTGAAGGCAGCAGCAATTCATAAAGAAAAAGCTAAAAAAAGGCAAAAAAAATTTTTGCAAAAATGTGAAAAATTTTTTTGAAATCCGGTGGTGCGCGCCAAAAATTTGGGGTCAAATGGCATTTCGGACCTATCTGGGTCAATAACGGGGGTCCCACGCGCCACCCGCCTGGTCCACTGCGCCAGGGTAAGGGGGGAGGGGCTGGACTCTTTTCGAGTTGGCCCCAAGATGGGTGCCCACTCCCTAACTGTCCCGTGGGCACATAAAAAAAACTTTGGAGATTAAACCCATCGTTTTCCAACAATTTTTGAGGTCAATGATTAGACAAGACAAGAACAAGAAACTGTCTGCTACACTGCTAGCCTGCCCATACATAAAAAAAAACGGTCCGGAAAGGCGATACGGTTCCCAAATAGCCGCTGCTATGTTACTTCCTATTAAATGAAATTCAGAACCAGGATATCCGTGCCCTAAATTGTCGCTGCAAGCCCTTCCATCCCCAAATTATCTCTGCTAGCCTGCCCCTTCCATTCCCAAATGATCTCTGCTAGCCAGCTTCGGGTTAGGAAACACATTAAAGGGCCGTTAAAGTCCCCTGTCAGGGCCGGGTTACGGTATCTCAACAGGTGCTGGTGGTCTACCGCTTTGACTTTCTCGACGGCTCCAAATTGACTCATGTTAATCTCGTTTTGTTAGCCTCAGAAGCTTGACGTTTCGGCCAAAAACGATGGGTGTCTGGTGTTTCGGTTCATCACCTCAGTAAAACCTCCAAAACCATCGTTTCTTGTCTAGACCCAGCCGGTGGAAGGGTATTTTCACGCCCGTTTGTCTGTGTCAATTGTGTACATCCAGAATAAAGTGAAATTTATGCACAAAACTGATTATTTGTAGATGACGGTCAACAGAATCAGCCCCATGTACAGGATGACGTCGACGAAGACGAATATCTGGATTGAGCCGTATTTGTGCTTGAATTTTCTAAAAATGTTTGCAAGGCCGTGCTCTTTTCAAGGGACTAGGAACCGCCCCTTGTCGCCGCTTGGTCTAGACATTTATCCAGCACTTTCGCATTATCGGAAGGGGGCACATTTTTATTTTGTGATCGAAGTTTGGAAATTTAAGTAAAGCCGTTTCTTGCTATGCCTAAACTTTGTATGTAAAAGATACTTCGTAAATTTTTACTACAAAATGCAAAACATAACGATTTTTCCACCAACTTTGCCGTTTTTATCAAAATATTGGAGTTTTTGGAAATTTTTGAAAGTCTCGGGGTTTCGGTAAAATTACGTAGTGGTGAAATAGACAAGAAAACACAGGAAATGCGCATCTTTTGGTATACTTGAAATGCTCCTACGATGCAGGATAACAGTTTTACAATTGACTGAATAAAAATAGGGGAAAAACGCAAGTGACAAAATGATAGGAGGTACGGAGAGAGAGAGAGAGAGACAGAGAGAGAGAGAGAGAGAGAGAGAGAGTGAGTGAGAGAGTGAGAAAGAGTGAGAGAGTGAGGGAGAGAGAGAGAGAGGGAGTGAGAGAGATGAGAGCGAGTGATGAGAAAGAGAGAGAGAGAGAGAGAGAGAGAGAGAGAGAGAAGAGAGAGAGAGAGAGAGAGAGAGAGAGAGAGAGAGAGAGATGAGAGCGAGTGATGAAGAGAGGAGAGAGAGAGAGAGAGAGAGAGAGAGAGAGAGAGAGAGAGAACGAGCGAGCGAGTGGAAGAAACAGCCAACGAAGACTTTGTTTCAGCTTGAGAGGCCGCTCGAGCAGAAAGAGATGAATTACGCTCCTAAGAAGAAGCTGCTCGAGTCCCAACTAGGGCTCCTGAGAGAGCAGCTAGAAGCCGAGAGGAAGCGACGGTAAGAGGGTTCCTGATTCTAAAATTATCTCTGCTAGCCTGCCTCAATACATTATTTTCGGAGCTGAACAACGACGTGCCCCTCCCGCACAAAAACGTGCCTGTCGTACGTGCAAAAATGAACTCTATAAAATCGTTTTAAGGGGAATAGAAAATGCGAAAATCGACCCCTAGCGTCGACTAGTTCTTGAAATTTACGCAACATGCCAAAAGGCCGGTTCATATTCTCTACTATTTACTCTCAAGAACTTCAATTTTGAGGAACTAGCTTGCGTCCTTTGGCGCGTAACGTAGCTGTCTAGACCTAGCCGATCCAAGGAGTCGATTCTCACGTTCTCTAACCCCCATTAAAGGTATGAATCTCCACAAAATTGCCCTCATCTTTCAGCGCCCTACTTTCAAATTTATATTGCTTTTCTAACTGCCGCTACATTCTAGCATATACCGTACCCGCATGTGCCTCAACTTAAACTACGCAACGATACTGCTAATTTCTTGTCATTTTTCGATCTAAATTTTCTGTAATCTTTGTGTGCTTTATCCTCTAGTCGCGCTTGTGCTTTGTCTTGCTTTGTTCTGGTCAAGATCTCCATTTTAAGACCCATTTGCTGGCTACCTCTTAAAAGTTGCATTCCCCCGGACAGAGAGTTGTGATTTTTTACTAGTAGGGTTGTTGTTTTTCCATTGAAAGAGCTCAGTATTCGGTTTTATATTTATTAGAGGTAAATCGACAAAAATATTTTAAAAATGCATGGTGAGAGAAAACTTTTCCCCCATTTATTAAGGTCAGGCACACACAAGAAAAAAAATCACAGGTTGTTCGCGGGCAAGCAGAGAGAGTGGCTTTACATAAAAAGAGAACGACACAAAAGAGAAAAAGATATCCACAGCTGAGTAAGGAAACCTGGAAGGTTCCAAATCTCGGAACAATCGGAACCATAGAAAGTCGGACTGTTCCGACATGCGGAACGGCCGGAACGGTGGCTGTTCCGAGTGTTCCGGATCTCGGCCTGTTCCGAGAAACAACCCGCATTTAAACCCTGTTTCCATTTCAATAATACTTCAAAATATGCATACATTGCATTGCAGGTTGCATTCCATTGCAAAAACAACAAAAAAAACAAGCATTGCATTCCCGCGATAGAGCGTTGTGGCCTACTTCCTAGTAGGGTTGTTGTTTTTCCAATTGCCGAGCTCCGTGTGCAATTTTCTTATTATTATGGGCGAACGGTTAAAACATTTATCACATTCCGGGTCACGCTGACGAATAGCAGCAAATCAAATAATAATAATTGGGTTCGGATCGGTGACCCTAGAAATCGGTGATCTTCAGGTTCTTCGGGTGGCTATTCTTGCTGCGTCGTCCGCCCGACGCCTTGCTGCCGCTGCCGGACGGCCCAGACGAGTTGCCATCATCTGAAAAATACAATTTGAGGGACTGGTCGGCTCAACTTTTACCCAAGCTTGCCAAATAGCGCCCTTTAATGACTAAGGGTGCTACCTTTGTTGTGGAGGTGCAAGCGGTCGAAGCCGGGCACCGTCTCGGCGCTCTTGCCCTCCGGATCGGGGAAAATCACATTGTTGAGGTTGTAGGTAGAGGTTGAAGAGGTGTAGAGGTTGAAGCCGGTTGTGCCTACCCCTTCGGTGAGCACGTCGAGCAGGCAGACCTTCACCGCCCACAGTGTGCCCAGCGGCGTCTTCCCCAACAAACGGTCGCCAACAGTCTGAATGTGTGCGAATTGGTATATGTTCTCAAAAAAAAATTGAGAAAGAGAACAAATTTCAATTTCGCGTACCTGCGCTTCGTGGTCTTTGTTCGGAAGCTTTTCAGCAGAGAGCAGCAGACTGTAGTCGTACAGTCCGAGACCGGAGAGCTCCTGAAAAAGCCTATCTCTCACTTTCTCTCTCTCTCACTCTCTCACTCACTCTCACTCTCTCTCTCTCCATCTCTCTCTCGCTCTTCCCCTCTCTCCCTCTCTCCATCTCGCTCTCTCACTCCATCTCTTTCCATCTCTCTCCCTCTCTCTCCATCTCTCTCCATCTCTCTCACCCTCCCTCTCTCCATCTCTCTCTCCCTCTCTCTCTCTCTCTCTCTCTCTCTCTCTCTCTCTCTTTCTCTCACTCTAGCTCTCTCCCCTCTCTCTGACCCCACTTTAATGTCCGCTTTCAGTTTCGACAGCAGGTGGTCGCGGTCCCGCTTCTCGAGTAGGATGCCGCCAGGAAAGTCAGCGACAAATTCGTCGTCACATCCGGTTGTCATGCCGGCGGCCATGGTCTTCTTCCTCCCCTAAGATCGATTCAAGTTGAAATACCGAAGAAAACCTTCAGATCAAACGCTGGCCCGCTGATACCGAGGAACAGGTTCTTCATCACCAGGTAGCCGATGTTGCCGTGCGTCTAAAACGTGGATTAAAATTTTTTTCAGTTTTTCGCATCGAAATTCGGAGCTTATGCAAAGTGAAAGTTTCGGATTAGGCGGAGCCAGGCTTTAAAGGAAATACGGGAAAAACTTCAAGTTGGTTTGCAGAGTTTGCTTGGCGAAAAAAAAGCTTCGCTGACTATTTATTTTAGCCATCAAACGCTACATTCTCGACGAAGAGGCAGACCACCGGCGGCAGAAACGAGGTGCCGCTCATCATCTTCTAAAGAAAACAAGTATGCATCGTCTGAGATTACGATTCACCTGCTTGAGCTTGGGCCAGATCTCTTCGTACAGCTCGTACTCCCGCTTGCTGATGGTCTTGATGAAGAAATGGCGGTCCATAAAGAAGATGAAGAAACGGCGGTCCTCCTCGGAATATCCATAAAACTATCGGAAGTACGGTAAGTTCGGTCGTATTTTCTTTGGCGAAGCCGCTAAAAACGAGGAAAAGTCTCAGAACCAATGCGCCAAAGTCATGGTAAGTCATGTAAATTTATGGAAATACCGGATTCCGTTGGCGAAATCTCGCGAAATAACCTACTGTTTTAACAAAGCGTTTAGTATCCAGCGCATGCATAATTTTTAAACATGCAAAGTATTAAACAAGGAAAACATTGCAGTAAAAGAAAATGAAACAAATATAAAGCGAGATAATCAGAAATGACTTGATTTCTACTTTTTATCGCGAAAAAGTTACAAAATGAGTGCATAAACTTCCATTTCCTTTCGAGTTTTCGTCGATTTGCTTCTAAAATCATCAAAATTTGTGCAAATAGGCTTTACTAGCAATAATCTATCAAATAATTAAACGAAACAACAAATAAACGCATTTTTATTAAAAATTTCAACCAAAAGCAAAGTTTTTTGAAAGAAACTCCGGCGGAAACTCGTTGTGCAGAGCGCATGTTGTCCCAGCGTTGGGTGTAGCCCCTCGTACTCGAGCTCCGATAACACCTAAACGCGGCTCCCAGCCCCTTGAAAACGAGCAAATAAACGTGTTTCCGTGTGCCTGTAACATTCCGGTGGCATCCGGAACGAAAAATAAATGTTAGTAAAAAATTTTATTTTTGACCCAAAAAATGACTAAGTCCCGGGCCACAGCTGTGATTCCACTCGGGGATGCCCTACACAGCTGTGACACCGCACTGGGGCGGCGGTAACGGAGACACAGCTGTGAGTGAACGCGAGCTGTGACACCGCTAAATTTTTCTAGCTACACAGCTGTGCCACCGCTAAACGGCCACACACAGCTGTGTTTCCGCTATTAGCGGTGTCACCTATGTGTCATGCTGGCAGAGAAGTCAACAAATATCATTTTCAACAAATATCATCTTTGAGATTTCAGCCTGGACCCATTGCCGGACAACGCCATCATCGGGGAGTGTTCACCGCTCGTCGCTTGTGATCCGACATTGGTAAGCAGAGAATGTCATTATGACAGAATTTTCGTTAGCGTCCCGAAAGAGAGATACCTTAAAGGGGCTCCGAACTGCCAAATCAAAGCCCTTTTGGGAGGCCTCTTTGATTTCGGGCAAATTGCCAGCGGGCGCTGCGGGACAAGAGCCCTCACTCTTTCGATTTTTGCGCGAAATTGTTTTTGCCCGGTTTCTTTGTGAAAACACTATAATTCGCGCAATCTGAGCCCATTTTTGAAATCCTCACTCAATTTTAAATAGTTTTCGTGTTTTAATCATCAAATTTGGCCCAGAAACAGCCGAGAACGCGATTTCGAGGTGACAACAGGCAATTTCAAATTTTGCGAGCTTCCCGGCCCCTGGGCGTACAGACCCCCGACGTACAGGGCTCCGATTTTCGGGCCGTCACTCAATTTTTGGCATTTCGTAGCCCCTGTAATTTTTGTAGGTCTGGTACACAATCTACTTCCGAAGTTCTCCACATTCGACTATCTACGCTCAGCTTGCAGCTGTTTCGAAACAGGTCTGTCGTATTTTTTTCGTCCACCCTAACTGATAAGATGTTACTATTATAACGGCCCCCCTTCTCATAAACCCACCGAAATTTTTTCTCAAATATGCACTCCGGAGCCAAAAAACTCAAAAAAAAGGTGACGTTTATGCGCGTCACGCAATTCTGAGCGCTTTTAAGCATCCTACAGCGAAAAAATTGTGTTTTTGGTCAAAATCCGGCCATTTTACACCCAGTTTTCGAGATTTTACTCGATCCGAAAAATATGAGCCCAGCCCTCTATTATCCCCCCCTCTCTAAAACAACCCGCCGCCTTTGCGGGTGATTAAAAAAATATAACCCCGGAGGTTATATTAGAGGAAATACGGTATCTACAAGGTGTCCCATAAAAACACCCCTCCGGCATTTTGCCGTATTACATCCGATCGGTCCCAAAATTGGAACAGAGGTGTATCAGACCCTAAATAACCACAATCCTGACTTATAGCCCGATCACTACAGTAGTTTTCGGGTTATCGCCAAAATACTTTTTTTACGTGATTCTTAACAGTTTTTCGGCTATCTTTTTGAACTCTGCATCGACTTCCGGCTGAGAATCCCTAATTTTGCTAATATCGAGGGCGACTTTGGTGAAAAAAATTGCTGAAATCAACGGTTGTTTGATCAACTGTCTATCAGGAAAAAATTTCTAAGGGTGAAGGCTTGCCGCTTTATTTTCGCTTAATATTCGGAAGGTCGATTCCGACGAAAACCCTATGAATAACGCACTATAAAGTTTATTTTTGTTGTATCTCGAAAACCACTGGATCGATCGGGCTATAACCCAGGATTGTGGTTATTTAGGGTCTGATACACCTCTCGCCCAATTTTGGGACCGATCGGATGTAATATGGCGAAAGGCGGGATGGGTGCTTTTTTTGGGACACCTTGCACATCCGTCTATATCTCTCTAATCCAAACGGGATCTGATCCCTTGTGATTCTGTATTTTAGATGACTTCCTTTCCGTTTTTTGTGCTCTCGGTCAACGCACACGTTTTCCGGAAAAGTGGGCGCAATTACTGAAGACCATGCGGTACTTGATCAACGACTGTATCTTTTTGGTAGGCTTTGATGTCGCTTACAAAAAGTTCACTAGATTCGATACAACTTAAATTCTGTACAAGATCCATCTATCGAAAACTTCTCGAACTAACGAAAAATTAGCTGAGATGCGCCTCGGTTGTCCATCCGGCAAAATGAGAGCTGCCATCCGTATTTTCTCCAATACAATAACCGTCGAGCAGGTTTTGAATGATCGGGATTTTTCAGAATTGCAAGCTCTCCCGATTCGAATTGCAAGCTTACCACTTGAATACCACGTATTGCTTGCTCCTCAAACTCCTTGCTCCATTTTTTGGGACACCCTGTATTTCCAGCAGCCGCCAGAAGCGGCCAGAAGCCGCGTGGTTTTGCTCTATGCCGAAGTCGACGAACAGTCCGTAGGTTCATTTATTCCGTACTCAACCACGACGTTTTTTAGATGGAAGATAACCGAGAGCGTCGGTTGCTTCAAAAAAATGTTATGCGAGCTTGGCGAGCAGCTCAAGGCCAGGCCAGCGGAAAGCAAAAATTGCCACATATTTCGAATCGATGGCGGTCGCAGTAGAACTAGGAAACAAGTAAGGGTTTCCGTAATAGTAAGCTTTTTAAATAGATTTTTTTAGTAGTAAAGGAAAGTAGTTATGAGAAACGATATGTTCTCTTGCCATCGTTTTATCAATTTAAAAACAGTGTAAAATGGCAAAAAAATCGCTTATATGTATTTTGTTATAGGGCCGTACGCAATTACTAGGGAAAAATACCTTCTTTTGGGGACAACCCATATTTTAATACCAACAAGCTTCAGTGCGGAATCTACCTGTTCCTCGTGCAAAATGGTGGCAATAACGCGAAGCATATGCTGGCCGCCTATCGACAGTTTATTGCAAATCTACACGTGGAAGGATATGGGGAGCCGGTGTGCGCTCCGAAGGGCGTGCCAAGGATCAAATGGGACGGGATGCATTTTTCCTAACAATATTCCGTCACCTCTTTAGACCTGGTTTTTCGTGTTTCCTGTATAAATATACAGGATGGCGATTAAGTATTTGCGCCTGTTTCAAGCACGTTTTTAGGAGCTAAATCGTAGTCGGCAAAAAAACCAACAAATGCATTTTGTAGAGAATTTTTTGCTCCATCGGATGCAATGTGAAAAAAAAGGTTCCCGCTTCACCACACAATTTTACTTTGTATAAACATGTAAAAAAATCGTTTTTTTGTATGGATTTTCCTCATTTTTGAGGGGCGCGGAAATTTTTTTGAAGAAGCTAGATCTATTTCCCGATGTTTGATCGTGGAAAGAGCTATCTGAACTTGCTAGAAAAAATGGGTATGGCTACAGGGAGTCCTGGGTAGGGCACGGAAGCGAAAGTAAATTTTGGCAAAGCCCGAGGGCCGCGCATCCTGTCTCAGAGCGACTATCGCAGAAGAATTCATCCTGAAAATCGCGCCTTTGAGGTATCTTTTTTTATTTCGCTGTCAAAATGTAGGTAATTCTTGCGTCTCTGTACTAGCCACTTTACCTAAAGCGAGAAAAGCTAAATTCTCCAGCCCATGATTTTTTAAGGGTGGAGCAAACGGATCGCATAACCATGCATTTCAATTCCATCGTTTTGTGTAAACATTTTGAAATTTTTGAACGCCCTTTAGCTTTTCCGGACCGTTTGGATCGCTTAGCCAAGTCCCCATCATAACAAGCATCTTCGACACGTGATTGTAGAAATTTGAGACATTTTGTGTTTTTCGTGAAAAAATTCCCGCGCGGCTCAATTTTGGTGGTCGAGAAAACTAAGGATAAACCTAGGATCCGATCAGAAATAATTTTTCTGTCTATACGTTCGCTAGAGGGCATCGCAAAGAATATCAAGACCACTTGTTGTTCTGGCCAACTGAGATACTTACGCTGAAAAGCTTAAAAGGGGGACGAGATAGGCGCGGCCCTCGCTGATGATTGGGCGCTTCTCTGAAAAGTCATATCTTCAATATTGGTGAGCCAGTGGAAAAAGACCGCTTCGCGGCCCTTTTCCACTGGACCCCGTCCAGGAACCATGAATTTGAATAACTTCATTTTTGCCTGCGGCGCAATAACCTGAGTCAGACCATTCTTTGGCCTGCGGCGCCAGAGCCAGCGCTGCGCCAATCTTTGAGCCTTCGGCGCTAGCTACTGCTTTTTCTTCCGAATTTAGCCTGTGGCGCGAGAGCGTGTGCCAAGGACCCATCCCTGGCCTGTGGCGCCAGAGCCTGGGCCAAGGACCTTTTCTTGGGCCTGCGGCGCCAGAGCGAAGGCCAGGCCTAAATCGCGCACACGGTGATCCTAGAAATAGGCTTTGTTGCTGAACTACCAAAAAGCAAAAAGGGTCACTGGAGCACACAAGTCGGCTCTACACTGCTGTTCTGCCCTGCAATACGCAATGCGCACGCTGGCCATTCGATCTCGTAATGGATTGCACGAGGTCCAGGCTAAGCGCGCGACGCGTGTCGCGGGTATTGAGTGTCGCGGGGTATATTGCTTACATTTTGCCGCACCACGACACGCGACGCGGTCGTCATTCGATTGCTTTATGTATTGTGAGCCCGGATGGAGTTTAGGCAAAGCGCGCGTCGCGTGTCAGATAGAGTCCATAGTGAAAAAAGAGCCCATAGAACAAATAAGTCAGTGGCCATCATTTGTCAAACCCTGTAAAAGGATGCTGACAAGGAGACGTTTTTAGGTGGGCACGGAGTTTCGTAACGAGACCTAGCTCATTCGAAAGAGCTTGAAAAACTGAGCAAGATCCCGTTTTCCATTTCTGCGAAACGATAGCGATTGATTTTTAATAATTAAATTAAAGAATTAGCAGAAATTGGCATGATTCCCCTGGCGCGGGGCGATTTCCTTCCAAGGATCGCCTCTGTCGGAAAGCCAGGCCCCGTCTTCCCTTCCCCATCGTGATTTGGCGCAGCCGGTACGGCGTTTGCCTCTCACGAAATTTTTTTTGGACTTTTTGTCAGTTCGACCCCTGAGCCCAGAATTCGTTTTGCTTTTTATTTTAGGAGGCTGAATTTATTATTTATTTTAATTTAATTATCGCAATGCGTTACATAAATGTTCTGAACAGCATCGGTGTAGGCGCAAGCGGGCCAGTTGATTTCAATCCCTGAGACGCGAGTGCAACGCTACCGGTTTGGGGCAAACCACAAAAAAAAAATCAATTTTGGACTAGATTCCACGTTTAGAAAGTGTTCAGGAATTAATAAGCAAAACGAATTCTGGGCTCAGGGGTCGAACTGACAAAAAGTCCAAAAAAAAATTTCGTGAAAGGCAAACGCCGTACCGGTTGCGCCAAATCACGATGGGGAAGGGAAGACGGGGCCTGGCTTTCCGACAGAGGCGATCCTTGGAAGGAAATCGCCCCGCGCCAGGGGAATCATGCCAATTTCTGCTAATTCTTTAATTTAATTATTAAAAATCAATCGCTATCGTTTCGCAGAAATGGAAAACGGGATCTTGCTCAGTTTTTCAAGCTCTTTCGAATGAGCTAGGTCTCGTTACGAAACTCCGTGCCCACCTAAAAACGTCTCCTTGTGAGCTCAGTATTCAGCTTAAATTTATTAGAGATAAATCGGTAAATATTTTAAGAAAGCATGGTGAGAGAAAACCTTTTCCCATTTATTAATGCCAACCCAGACAAAAAAGAAAGAAGCAGAGCGAGTGGCTGGACATTAAAACATATACACAACGGCGAAAATAGTGCAAGTCGGAAAGAAAATCTGGTTAACATGAAAACAGATTTGGTACATTGCCTTAAAACACAAATGAGATGGGCCCTAATCTTGGAGATGTAACATCACACAAAAATGATATCAAACACTAGAAGCGGTATTAAAAGACTGGGAAATGGGGCCGAGATGGGAGACTTGGCGTCGCTTAGTTCGAGTGGCCAGCCTCCAGAAGCGCCTAGAGCCGGGTCGTCTGCTGGCGCTTCGGGTGATGTTCCTTGCCGCTGCGGTCGCCCGTCTTCTCGCCACCCTTGCCGCCGCCACCGCCACCGCCTCCGCCTCCGCTTCCGCCTCCGCCTCCGCCTCCGCCTCCGCCTCCGCCACCGCGACGTCCCGAAGAACCAGCATCTGAATTTCCGAATTGGAAGAACGTTGGCGGTTGAAACCGACGGTAGGTATTAAAATTAATTTATAAATAAAATTTATAATAAATTATCAATAAATAAATCGCTAACCGTGATTTATTTAAAATTCATCTATCGATAGAGAGTTCCAAAGAAATGTGAAGCATTAATGTAAAACGACCCTTGTAAAAAAGGTTATTTGAGTTTTAAAGCCTTTTTGTATTAAAATTTTGATTTTTGAAGCCAAATATTTATATGATGGCCTCCCGGGTCGATTTTGCAAAACAAAAACCCTCTATGACCTTCTATGACTATGACCAGAGTTTCTATGAATTAATTTAGAATCGGCTGTCAGCCAGTCAATCAGATAAAATTCTTTACCAAATAAACTCCTCAAACGAAATTCAAAATCGAACAAAATGGTTAAAATGCCCTCGTGATTGAGAGAGAGAGACAGAGCGATAGAGAGAGAGAGACAGAGCGATAGAGAGAGAGACAGAGCGATAGAGAGAGAGACAGAGCGATAGCGAGATAGAGCGAGAGAGAGAAGAGAAAGAGCGATAGAGAGATGAGAGAGAAAGAGAGAGAGACCAAACTAAGGAAATGGCATCTACCGTGGCCCTTGATGGTGAGCTTCTTGAGCCGGTCCGTGAGATCGGGGAACACGACCTTCTCGATGTGGTCAAGGAAGGTGCGGTGGTGTTGCACGGCCACCGGGTGCAACTAAAAAAAACCGTCTGCCGTCGGAGAGAAAGAGAGAGAGAGAGAGACAGAGAGAGAGAGAGAGCGACGAGCAGGATTGGAATAGCAGTATTCTACCGTTGGTCTTGATGCTCGGCTTCTTCTTCTTGACCACGAGTCCAGGGAAGATCAACTTGTCGATTCCTTCGAGGAACTCGGCCTTGTACTCCGCGGCCTTCGGCTTTGCCTAAAAATGTATCTGCGGCACCACGATTCACGCCTACGACGCTCTGGAGCACGTCGATAATACACATCTTGATGAAGACCTGGTTGCCGGCCTTCGTCCTGCCGTGGAGTCCCGCACCGCCCACCTGAATGGCATATAAAAGGATAAATCGAAATTTCGCGCGCGGATCACCACCTTTATTAAACCACTGCTAGCTTACATACCGCAGAAAAGCAGGGCAATGATGCTAATCGAAACAACCGCGGAGTTCTACCGTTGTCGTGGAGGTGCAAGCGCTCGAAACCGGGCACCGTCGCGGCGCTCTTCCCATCCGGGTCGCAGGAAGATGACAGCGTTGAGGCTGTCGAGCAGGTTGGTCTTGTGGCGCAGGACATTGTGTGGTTTCTAAAGAAATATATCGAAAGACGCGAGCTGTTCCTACCCCTTGGGTGAGCACGTCGATCAGGCACAGCTTCACCGCCCATCGCGTGCCCAGCACCTTGGTATATTCCAACAGAATCTTGTTCAACAGATCCCTCTCGGCCTCGTTGAGAGTCTTCACCACATAGGCATCATCGTCGGTGAAAAATATGGCGGAGCCACTATTCCCTCGCTCCGGATTCGTCGCCTTGATTCTCCAGGGGCGGACCGTCAAGCTGTTCTGCAAAAACAACGGTAGTTTCTGTTGGGGAAAGCTTTAACAATTTTAGTGGAGCCGATGAGCGCCAGCTGGAGCCACTCACCGAGAATTCCGCCTCGTTGATGAGGAACTTTTGGCGAATTTCCCGGAAGAGCTCGGGCCCCAGCAACTTGATGACGTTTGGTTGCTGCCGCACGTTGACGAAATGCCATGTAGCTTCATGGGGTGGGTTGTGCCTCGTCCTCAGCCCGATCGATAGCGCGGGCTGGAGCACCGTCATCGTTTTCTTGACCAGCTTCTGAAAAAAAATTATGAACTATGCGAGAGCATACCTTGTTGGCTTCGCGCTGCTGCTTCCGCTGGTGCTTCTGCTTGGAGGCGCTGGACGAACTCTTCTCGGATCGCTTCATGTAGTTGTTGCCGATGAGAGAATGCAAGTTTATTTATTTGAACGTTATTTAAACCCCCCTTTCGATGCTAATATATGGAGGTATGGAGATTTGTATTTCATTCGCAACTCATATTCAATCTTTAAATAAAGGAGCGCACAGCTTCTATCAGCGGTATTTTGGTTGGAGGCTTTCCTGATCAATCAATCGACTGGACCTAAATAGCATGTTGTTACAGTAGCGGACAAAAGTATTGGGATTTTTTATTTTTGGCAAAATCTCGGGAGAGTTAGCTCGAGGTGATCTCAAAAGCTTGTCCCTAGTGGAATTCAAGATGTGTTTTCATATGCAATGGGTTAAAACCGGCCGCCCCATAGCACAAGAAAATTAGGAAAAATTTCAAAAAGCTCGACGACAAAAGTATTGGGATTTTTCTTTCTGAAGCCTAGAAAACGAGCAGGCAACCTCGCAGAGCTCTTTTATTGATGCAGAAGGCCGAACTACAGCTGCAATTTGTTTTTCTTATAAGCGATTCCATTCCGGAAGCGCTGAGGAATTTTTTGTAAATCTCGATTTTACTATGAAACTTTCCTTTTTTGCCTCTAATTTTTTGAATATAGTTTTAATGTCAGTTCGCTCTATATATTCGGATAGAGCAGCTCAAGACGAGCATTTTCATATACAATGGCCTGCAGGAAACTCGCTCCTCGCGGAGTTACATAGGGCCCAGTTTTTCAGTCGGCGGCGTCCATAGTAAAATGGGGCCCCATCTATGAAACGAACACGTAAACCCCGGTGCACAAAATTGGGCCATCTTTATCTGCCGTGGCATGCCGAAAAACTATGGACATGCGTATATGAAAATGCTCGTCTTGAGCTGCTCTATCCGTATACCAGTGGAAAATGACCGCTTCGCGGCCCTTTTCCACTGGCCCCCGTCGAGAAACCAGATATTCCCCTTCAGTCTGACTCTAAACCATTCTCTGGCCTGCGGCGCTAGTTACTGGTTTTTCTCCAGCATTGGGCCTGCGGCGCTAGAGCCCGGGGGCAAGGACCTTTTCGTTGGCCGGCGGCGCTAGAGCGAGGGACTGGCCGAAATTTCGAATGCCGAGAGCCTCGAAATGTGTTTTGTTGTTGATCCATCAAAAAGCAAAAACGTAAATTTACCGAGGATCCGAACCTTCGACTATGAGTGTGGTAGTCCGGGCGTCAAGCCACTATACCAAAGGAGGCATGGGGATTGGCGGCGGAAAGGCCTCTTCTCTCCTGGGGGCGCGTTCAACCCGGGAGGGTGGACTTCTGGTAACTTTACAAAATCGCTTTTTTAGGCTCAATGCGCTGAAAATTTGTAAAAAATAATAAGATGCGCGTGATCCCCACTATCGAATACATATCTGGTCCAAATTTCAGCCCGAAATTCCAAATGCGAATCGAGTTATGCCCCGGACACCACGGCCATTGGCCCATTTTGTTAAGGATTTTCACTATTTTGCTTGTAAAACCGTTAAATGAAAGAATTTCGCAAAACAAAAAAATGCGTGTCTGACAAATGTGTTTCTCCACCTTCATGCCAAAAATCAGCTCGAAATTCGGCCTCACGGCCGAGAAATCCTCATTACAGAAAACAAACATACTTTTCTCGCTTATAGGATAGGATATAGAGCGAACTGACATCAAAACTATATTCAAAAAGTTAGAAGCAAAAAAGCAAATTTTCATAGTAAAATCGAGATTTACAAAAAATTCCTCGGCGCTTCCGGGATGGAATCACTTATCAGAAAAACAAATTTCAGCTGTAGTTGGGCCTTCTGCATCAATAAAAGAGCTCTGCGAGGTTGCCTGCTCGTTTTCTAGGCTTCAGAAAGAAAAATCCCAATTCCTAATTTTCTTGTACTATGGGGCAGCCGGTTTTAACTCATTGCATATGAAAAAGCATCTCAAATTCTACTAGGGACCAGCTTTTGAGATCACCTCGAGCTAACTCTCCCGAGATTTTGTCAAAAATAAAAAAATTCCAATACTTTTGTCCGGTACTGTACCTTTTTCCGCATACCCCGTAAGCCATGCCTTTGGCCATTTGGTACGGTAGAATCTCTAACGAAGCCGCAGTTTCCTGAAAAAAACTCCGATAAAATAGTTAGTATTGGCTTAGCTTACATCTCCATTGGGTGAGTTGAGCGTTTGTGGATTGAAGATTTTTAATCACCGTGCTCTCTCTCTTTCTCTCTCGCTCTCTATCTCTCTCACTCTCTCGCTCTCTCTCTCTCTCTCTCTCTCTCTCTCTCTTCACACTCTGTCCTTTTCTCCCGCTCTCTCTCTGTTAGCACTCTTTCTCACGCTCGGCGTCTCACTCGCTGTCTCTCTCTCTCGCTCTCTCGTCATTGCATGCAAGCTCCCTTGACAAACAAATTCGTTTATTTCCTTTTCAAGTAGTAACACATCTACAACACATGAGATCTATTGGGAGAATGGGGCCAGAGAATAGCGAGAAACGCGAGGAAAAACTTGCTCGGTTCCGCGTATATTAAGAAGCCGTGGGTCAAAAATATGGCTTTAATATCAGAAAGTCACGGGAATCGGCTCTGTTTAAGTAACTAAAAAAGTACAGGGAAGCGGATTCGTGAATTCCCGTAATTTTAAGGCTACACAACTCGTACAAGGAGGCACAACGCGAAAGCTAATGAAAAATTCCGGAGAATACAATGTACGAGGCCTAATCGAGGGCGGGGTTCGGACGCGGCTCAGGGCGGTTCTTCGACTTCTTCTGGTTCCGCTTGTTGGCCGTGTTCTTGTCGCACTTGCCCCTGCTGCTGGAAGGACCGGCGGAATGGTCCTCAGCTGAAAAAAACCGTTCAAAACCGCGCGCTACAGTTCGAAGGCAAATAGAATATTTGGCAAGGTTCTACCTGGGGCATCCACGCTCAGTTTCTTGAACTTGTCGGCAATTCCGCGGAAAAACGTAGCCGAATACGCCGCCCAGAACCTGTTCTTTCCATTTCTTCGCCGCCCCGCCGACCTAAACAAATGCTGCCTAACTTTGCAGTGATGCTACTTTTCGTTGCACAATGTCGATGATCCCCATCCGGAGCAGTTTCTCGCCCTCAGCCGTCGTCCCGATGAGGCTCGGCTCGGCTTGCTAAGTGTCAGATGAATCGGGAAGTAAAATTTGCATGACGCGTACAATTAGCACGGCTTGACAGGAAATTAAAACGGGACTGTGACATACCGGCTTGGTCCCGTCCTCCAGCGGCACGTTGTCGAGCATCAGCAATAATGAGTAGTCCACGAGATCTCGAAGCTCCAAAAACTGCAAAACGTCCTTTAGGAATTGCTCTGTATAGGCTACCCATCATTACTTCTAAAATCATTACTTCTAAAATCATTACTTCTAAAAGTCATTACTTCTAAAAGTCATTACTTCTAAAATCATTACTTCTAAAATCATTACTTCTAAAATCATTACTTCTAAAAGTCATTACTTCTAAAAGTCATTACTTCTAAAAGTCATTACTTCTAAAATCAGTACTTCTAAAAGTCGTTACTTCTAAAATTCTAAGCCTCGTTTTGGGCATAAATATGGCCAAACGTGCCGAAAAACTGGTAATCCGGCGTACCAAATTTTAGAAGTAACGTTTTTAGAAGTAATGATTTTTAGAAGTAATGACTTTTAGAAGTAATGACTTTTAGAAGTAATGATTTTAGAAGTAATGACCGTACCCCCTCTGCATAAGATAGAATTAGAGAGCTGCAAAGTGAAAAATAGATTGTTTTTTGGTTTTGCCTTTCCTGCTGGGCTGTTGACAACCAGTGACACCCAGGGTTTTCAGGGCAAAAATTCTGGCTTCTGTTCCCACATCCAAATCCTGGGTCAGGATCGTCTCCACTTCTTGGCGCTCCTCTTCCTTGAGCCGGATGCCATCCGGCTGGTTCGTGCGAAGCTCCGAATCACGTAGAACTGTCATGTCGCTGGCCTTTGTGCGGTCGGGGTCTCCCTAATATAAACCCTATATTGACCCTAAAAAATGAATTAAACCTTGAGATCGTATTTAGTAGCAGCGGGACTTCCGTCGAGGCAGATGTTACGCATCACAATGTACGTGAGGTCATCGTGGTCCTGGAACAGCATTTCGTTCGGTTCCCCAAGTAGAAGGGTCGAATCACGACTGTTGCAGCCAGTGGTGTCTTTCAATTTGTTCGCGTTTTCCCAGCTTTCTTATGGTCAAATATAGGGTGGCCCGAAACCCCACCTTCGACCCCGCCCCCCTTCCCCTCACTAGCGCTCACTGCTCACTCGTCATGTCGGGTCAGGTCTGAAAGGCAAGTGAATTGGAAAATTACATCTTCCCGGAGGTACAACGATAACTTTTCAAACCCAACACTGTTTTACATACCGTGATGGGGTCCTAGTCATCAGGCAGTTCATCGATTCCCATTGGCAACGAGTAGTCTTCGAGGAAGAAGTCCAGTACGCACTACAAGATGTAAATAAAGGTGCATCGGTCGTCTATTTTACTTTCGCTGTATTTTTCGTCTAGATTGTCAATTTCTCAAAGTTGAACCTTGCAACGAAGTATTGGCTGGTATTACTCGTTTTGCTCATTTTTAGGCCCGATTTTTTTACATAGGCTCACCTTCAAGTCTGCCGTCAGAAAGGAAGAGAGAGAGAGAGACAGAGAGAGGGCGAGAGAGTGAGTGAGAGAGCGAGAGAGAGAGAGAGCGGAAGAAAGAAGCCTTATCTCTCGCTCTTTCTTTATCTCTCGTCCGCTCTCTCTCGTTCTCTCTTTCTCTAATTTGAATAAGAAACAACTCACTTTTTAAATGCTGAGAGCAAATGAATGAAGAACATCCGTTCTGCCCGCTTTATACACATGTAGGCTGCCTCCACTTCCGGCGTAAGCTAATTGTGGTGGGCCGAGATGTTTGGTGTGCCTGCTGTAACCGTTTTACGCGCGCAACACGAGTGCACAACGCTCCCATTCCAAAAAATTTTTGCTGCTATTTTTTGATTTCAGATTCGATCTCACATAGCGCACTGCCAGTTTCGTTTCTTTATCGAGACCACAACTGCGGATCCTTCCATTCCATCAGAGCTAGCTTGTTCTATTTTTTTATTGCCCTGCTCTATCAAGCCGTGATTGGCGATTTCCGCAACAGTTCAGTTTATTCCACAGGACAAAGACAGACAAGCCCGAATACGTGAGCAAATGTTTGAAATCCGAATCCTCGCTTTGCATCCATAAATAGCGTACTTGGCAACCTCGCCTTGTTTCGTTTGGATTTTTTAGGCGGATTTGAAGCGTCCAATCTGCTGTCGCCGTTCTACGCCGGATGGCTCATCAACAACGGGCCTCATGCGGATAAGTCGGCGATCGGTATGCTTCTGATGGCCAACGTCTTCTTGGACCAGTCCAAAGATGTCCACAACTTCGACGTCAAGGTTGCTTTTTTTGTATTTCGGCACTCAGCTTCTTAGGGCGATCTGAAGCGCTGCGTTTCGCAGGACGAGAAGAAAGCGGCCAAGCCGACGGAGAGGGATCAAGAGTTCAAGGACCAGTATCGAAAAGTAATCGTCTGTACTCTTGCCACTGAGATTTTACAGGGCATCATTCTTTCTGCCCACGATCAGGGAAGGGTGATGGAGACGCTGGAGCAGGAGCTCGATGTGGGTGGTCTGACGGCCGACTCTCGCTTCTCTCTCTCTCTCTCTCTCTCTCTCTCTCTATCTCTCGCTCTCTCATCCTCTCTCTCTCTCTCCCTCTCTCTCTATCTCTCTTTCATCAGTCTGTTTCCAGATGCTGGTTTCGCATGCCATCTACGACTACTCGCTGCTTAGCTCGATCAACCACAAGGCTCGCGCTGCGAAACCGGTATGCACATACAAACAGGTTATCTTTGAAAATTCAACCGAAGCCAATCCTGATGCTTGGGTTTTGTTCCAGGACGAGCGCGACACGGTGTAGGGCTTCACCCAGCACGAGGGAGTCGCCAAGGAAGTCGAGGTCAAGATGCGGCTGGTGGACATCTGCTCGTGGTGAGAGTAAATGGTGCTTCTTAACAATAAATTTTCAGGATGTCGCCAAGGCCGCCGACTGCAAGCACCAGTTTCTGCTCGGAATCACCTCGTTCGTGTTCCCGGATAAGGAATGGCGCACAAAATATTGTGCGCGGATGGGCATCAAAGAAAAGGGTAGGAATCGTGAATTTTCTCAGCATTGCCAATATTGCCACCGACTGCGGAGACCGAAATACCAAATGCCGGAAGGCCACCGTCATCACCAATCTGTACCATCTCACTTCCAGGCACGGCTGGGCCGTCGAGCAGCAAGAGCAGGAGCAAGGGCCCGAAGAACAGCAAGAAGGGCGCGAAGAGCCATACGAGCACGAGCACGAAGACCACTACCATCTAAGGGTACGCTCTTCCTGTCTCTCGTCCCTCGTCTGTCTCTCCATGTCTCTCTCTCGCTCTCTCTCGCTCTCTCTCACCCCCCTCTCTCTCGCCCCTTTCTCTACCCCTGTCTCTCGATATCTCTCTCTCGCTCTCGCTCTCTCTCTCTCCCTCTCTCTCTTTCTCTCTCGCTCTATATCTCTCTCGCGCTCTATCTCTCCCCCATTTTTCTTTCTCTCTCGTTCTCTCTGCGTCTCTCTCTGTCTCGCCCTCTCTCTATCTCTCTGTCTCTCTCTGTCTCTCACTGTCTCTCTTCCTCTTTCTCTTTCTCTTTCTCTGTCTCTCTCGCGATCGATCGCTTTCATTTCCGCCCATTACAGTTCCTGGCTTCCCATAAAATCGCCGACTACTCCATTTTGGGCGATGTCAAGCACGGTGATGACGACGCCCCGCTGGTATGCCAATAGAAATACCAAAGTATTCGAAATGTGATTTAGGAACCGCGTAACACGCTGCACGGCACCATCCAGCGCGGCGAGGCCATTGAATCCGTTGTCGTGAAGATGAAGCTCGTCGACGTGCTTCTGCGGGTAAGGGTCAGATGCTGCTTTTTGAGAAAATTCTTGCAGGATGCGGCGAATGTGGTCTCCCGCAAGCACGAGTTCTTGCTTGGCGTTGCGGATTTCGTGTTCCCCGATCCCAATTGGCGCGAGGGGTATCGTCAGCGCATGGAAATCCAGGGTAGAATTTCTCAATTTTGTCGGCGACAAGTTGGAAAATAGCAATCGACCACAGAGATCAAAACCCTACATGCATGAATGGGCGATCTACGCGTTATGTCATTTTTAGACAACGCCGGGCGGATGAACATCAAGGGCCAAGGGCCGAGCCAAAAGAGCAATTAGACGGCTTCCACTTCAAGACGCTCTCTCGCTCGCCTCTCGCCACTATATCTCGCCCCCTTCCCTTTCTCTCTCTCTCTCTCTCTCTCTCTCTCTCTCTCTCTCTCTCTCTCTCTCTCTCTCTCCCTCTCTCTCTCTCGCCACTCTATCTCGCCCCCTTCCCTTTCTCTCCTTCGCTCTCTCTCTCTCTCTCTCTCTCTCTCTCTCTCTCTCTCTCTCTCTCTTTCTCTCTCTCTCTCTCTCTTCTCTCTCTCTGCTCTCTCTCTCTTTCTCTCTCTCGCTCTCTCTATCGCTCTCTTTCGTTCTGTCTGTGTCTCTGGCCTTCTATCGTACACAGCTGACGGATGTGTGAATAAAAATTTTTTCCGGACATTCTACATTGTGTAACGGTTGCTCTACTAATCTTTAGGCTCAGCAATACTAAGTTCTAAAGTCATTAATTATTTTTAACCTTAGCTGCTTGATGCAATCGGTCGTTCTGCATGAGACCGGGACTCTTTCGCAACGCGTACGGTTCGCCTTTCGCATTTTGCCAATCTTTTGGATCTTTTGGATTTTGCGTGCGGTCCACGCTTGAATACCCTTCGGCCAATCGAACCGCGATAGCTTTATGTCCGTTTGTGCTGGTTGCGATGTGTTTGTGGTCGCTATCTGGTCAAATCCGTAGGGTATCCATAGCCAACGGAATCCATAGTCACTAGCCGGTCCCTTTAAAGGTATCAGGAAAGCCTTGTAAAAATTTGCATAAGTCGGGCTTTGATTCTCTAACGATTATAAACCAGCCGCTGGGCTACCCCTTGTGCTCCCTCCCGTTCGCCGAAACGCACGCGACCTGGCTCACTATGCCCAAAATCGTGCAAAAAATTTGGCCATTTCGCAAATTGACGAGACGTCCTGGACACGTCTTTTCGAGGGCTTTCGATAGATGCCTAAATCGTAAAGCTCGGGCAGGTCTGAGGCCGGCTAGGGGGGGATTTTTTGGACACCCTGTAGGGCCTTCCTGGTCCCTTTAAAGGAACCAGCAAGGCAGTGTTTCCCTATGGATTTCCCTTGTCCGCGACGGCCGGCTCCGATCCGCGTAATGGCGTCCGGAATCTTAAAGCGCGGCGCCCGGCGTGGATGTTGCCTCGTCCGTGACGCAAAAGACGATTTTTTTTTCCGTTCCATACTACGGTGGCTTCTCGCTGCCAAGTAGCTTGTGCGTCGCGCGTCGCGACAGCGGCAAAATCCATCTGCAGTCAAATAGGGCAATTCCACGGAATTACGATAGCCAGGAAGTTGTAGAAATTTCCTTGATCGAGGTGTTGACGTGTAGGCGCTTCTTTGAAAATGGGTTATCTACATTTTTCGGGCTGCTTCTTCAGCGTACACTATCGCGATAAGGGAGCGAGCACAAAATTTTTCGACCCCGCCACCGATCCATTGCATTCCAAGAAGTTTCTATATTCCCCTCAGCTGCCATTTTTGATGCAACAAAATGGGTTTCAACTTGGCAAATGTCGTCACCATCCCCGGAATTCTCAGCTTTTTGATTACGGTCGGTTTTCTAAAAATTCCGAGAGAATTGGGGGCTTTAAAACATTGAAATATTTTACTGCGAGTTAATTCAGAATTTTTCAGCTTTCCCTGATCGTCACACTACCCCTCATCACCGTTTTTATCACTGAGGGATCATTTTATGTCGAGATTTTTGCTAAGGTAAGGTTTTTCAATCTCTCTCGCTCTCTCTCTCTCTCTCTCTCTCTCTCTCTCTCTCTCTCTCCCTTCATCTCTAGCTTGCTTTCACTATCTGCTTACTCAAATTTATTTCTCCACTCTTGCTCTCTCGCTCGCAAGCTGCGCAGGTTAGCTTGCTAAATGACTCAAGGCCTGTGGCTCGCTCTCTCTCTACTCCAACGCTCACTCTTGCTCTCTCGCGTCCTCACTCTCACCCTCTCAACTTCGCTCGCTCTGTCGCTCGCTCTCACTCGCAAACGTTCATCCGCCTTCTCCCTTTCTCTTGGTCTCTGGTTCTCTCTCACCTTCTCCCTCTCTCGCTATCTCTCTCACTCTCTAGTTTTCTCTCTCTCATCTCTCTCTTTTCCCTTTTCACATCTCTGTCTCTCCCTCACACTCTCCTACCCTCTCTCACTCGCTCTCTCTCTCTCTCTCTCTCTCTCTCTCTCTCGCTCTATCTATCTCTCTGCTTCTCGGTGCCTTTCTTTCTCTCTCTTTCTCTTTCTCTCTTACTGTTTTTACATCCTACTTATTTAAACCGTACATATGCGGCCGCGACGAGTTGAGCTGACCCCGAAACCCATAGAAAACGGTTAGATCAGAATTCGATCCGTCCCCTGGCCCTTCTTCAAATAATAGCTGCTCCTTTACGTTCACCATCTCTCTTTTACGCCCTAAACAGCTTACTTATGTTGCTTTACGTACACCGTGTTTTTGTGGCTGCCACGATTTGAGTAGTTTGAGTATTTGACTACCTGTCACATACTTGGTCACTTTAGCATTATGGATGGTCGATCGTCTACGAGCCGTTGTTGATCGTATCGCTCGGCATCGCCCTCACGATATTGATCGGCATTTTGACGGGCAACGAGTTGGTGGATCGGTTAGGGAAGTTGAAGGTATGTTTAGAAATTCGATAGTTCCGACTTTTCCTAACTACATTCAATTTCCCAAACATTCCTATAAAGGCTGCAAAAGGGAAGCGCTTCTGAGAAATTAGGAGAGATATAGACAGAAAGATGGAGCGCAAGATAGAGCGAGAGAGAGAGAGATAGAGAGAGAGAGAGAAAGAGAGAGAGAGAGAGAAGGCGGGCGAGCGAGCGAAATGTGTTGAATGTCCATTTAATGTACCTTTAGACCCTGGTAGTGTACGCCATCGCCACAGTGCTTCTGATCATCTGCGGCACATTGATAGCCGTCAACGCATCAAAAGCTTCAAATATAATATGGAAGGATACACATCGATTGGCGCGCTATGTTGTAGCCACGGTAAGGCCTTTAGCTAATCTTTGTGCTTTAAAGGACCTGAAAATGCGAGAATCGACCCCCCCCTTGGTGGTTCCTTGTCCCTTTAAAAGAGCACGGCCTTGCCAACATTTTAAAAAAATTCAAGCACAAATACGGCTCGTTCCAGATATTCGTCTTCGTCGACGTCATCCTGTACATGGGGCTGATTCTGTTGACCGTCATCTACAAATAATCAGTTTTGTGCATAAATTTCACTTTATTCTGGATGTACACAATTGACACAGACAAACGGGCGTGAAAATACCCTTCCACCGGCTGGGTCTAGACAACCGAGGTGACGCACCGAAACACCGGACACCTATCGTTTTTGGCAGAAACGTCAAGCTTCTAAGGCTAACAAAACGAGATTAACATGAGTCAATTTGGAGCTGTCGAGAAATTCAAAGCGGTAGACCACCAGCACCTGTTGAGATACCGTAACCCGGCCCTGACAGGGGACTTTAACGGCCCTTTAATGTGTTTCCTAACCCAACGCTGGCTAGCAGAGATCATTTGGGAATGGAAGGGGCAGACTAGCAGAGATCATTTGGGAATGGAAGGGGCAGGCTAGCAGAGATCATTTGGGAATGGAAGGGCTTGCAGCGACAATTTAGGGGCACGGATATCCTCGTTCTGAATTACATTTATTAGGAAGTAACATAGCAGCTGCTATTTGGGAACCGTATCGGTATTCCGAACCGTTTTTTTTATGTCTGGGCAGGCTAGCAGTGTAGCAGACAGTTTCTTGTTCTTGTCTTGTCTAATCATTGACCTCAAAAATTGTTGGAAAACGATGGGTTTAATCTCCAAAGTTTTTTTATGTGCCCACGGGACAGGCAGGAAGTGGGTACCCATCTTGGGGCCAACTCGAAAAGAGTCCAGCCCCTCCCCCCTTGCCCTGGCGCAGTGGACCAGACGGGTGGCGCGTGGGACCCCCGTTATTGACCCAGATCGGTCCGAAATGCCATTTGACCCCAAATTTTTGGCGCGCACCACCGGATTTCAAAAAAAAATTTCACATTTTTGCAAAAATTTTTTTTTGCCGTTTTTTTAGCTTTATCTTTAAGAATTGCTGCGGCCTTCACGTCTCTATTGTTTCTAATTGTTTCTGACATGAATTCTACTTGATTTCTTGCTTTTTTTGATGGAATTGAAAGCTTTTTTCGTGTTTTTAGCTTTATTTTGGCAAATATCTGTCTTTTTCACGCTTCATTTTGTTTCTAATTGTTCCTCACGTGACTTCCGCTCGGTTTCTTGCTTTTCGGATGTATTTCCACGGTTTTACATGAAAATTTCTTCTTTTTTTCAGGGATTTCGGCGTATCCAACCGAATTGCTGACGGTTGCGGCTGCGGATTTGTTGTGGACCTCCGACGGCAACATCAATGACGATAATTGGACAATTTGGCTGGTGAGGAATTATTTTGTGTTGTATTTAGGATGTTTTTTCGACGGAAAACCAAAATTTGGCGGGTTCAAATTGAATTTTTCTGAGTTTTTCTGAGTGCTTGTTAAATGGCTTTTTCAGGCAGCAACCGGGATGAGACGTGAAGAGGAGCGGAACGAGAGCGGAAGCGGAGCGACGACAGCAAGCCGCACAAGAGCAGGAGCTGGACCCAACTGGAGAAGATACGTTTTTTATTACTTTTCGGCTAATCTTTTTTTATCGGTAGAGGCGAAGGCGGACGCGTGAAGATCGGCTTTCGGGCGCCATGTGAGGGATCTTCTGCCGACGCGAGATGACGATGCTGAAGCTGTGAGATGACGAAAAGTAAGGTACGTTGTTTTGTTTCAATTTCTCGAGTTCGGGATTAGACTTTTTATGGGTTTTCTGTAAGTGGTAGGCTAGCAGTGGTAATTTGGGAAATTGAGGCAATTTTTCATAGTTTCTTGCCGAAATGATATACGAGCAAATGGAATTTGGAAATTGGTGAATTCCGCTTGGGGCTTTTTTGAGCAAGGGGTGGGCTAGCAGTGGCCATTTCGGAACCGATTTCATTTCTTCTTCGGGGTTACTGTAAGTGGTAGGGTAGCTTTTTTGGGCATGGTTTAGGCTAGCGATTTGATTTTGGGAATCGTCGATCAACAGACATGAACTTTAAAATCGAGGAAACTGCGTTAAAACCTTATTTGCAGGCGGCAGCCAGGATTTCGTGGAAGGAGGCGGTGGCGACTTCTCAAGGCGCGGTACAACGGCTTCTCAGCCATCTCCCGACATCCCAAGATCGTCAGCCGGCGCGCGTCACCAAGCTGTTCGTGGCGACCGACGAGTTCGGTTCGTTTCTTTCTTTCTATTGCTCTGACCACGGATTTCTTACTGTAGGTAGTTTAACGAGTTTTTGGGAATCTGCATAATTTTTGTCGTTTCTTACTGTAAACGTAGTGGTTGGTGTATGCGTATGTGTAAACTAGCAAAAATGTGGAATCGCGTCGAATTTGCTTTAACGATTACTGTAGATGGTAGGCTAGCAGAGGTCATTTAGTAATCGATTTCATTTATCATTGGGGGTTACTGTAAATGGTAGGCTAGCAGTGACCATTTAGGAACCGAGTTCTATTCTTCTATAGGGTTACTGTAAGTGGCAGGCTGGCAGTGGCCATTGAGGAATCGACGCAATTTTTCATAGTTTCCAAGTGTAATAACATGCTCGCAGTAAAAATTCGTTAGCGCTGCTTCGGGGTTTTTTTGAGCAAAGGTAGGCTAGCAATGATGCTTTGGGAAACGTTGGCTACCAGAGATCAATTTTTAAACGAGGGAAGCGTGTGTTAAAAGTCTTTTCCAGGCGCCATCGCCACGATCGGATGGACGGCACTCGCAGACGAGGCCGCTCAACGACCAGTTCATGACGACGGCCGAGGATTCACAGCCGGCGAACGTCGGCGAGACGTCCGTGGAGGACACGACGACCGAAGAGCATCTCGGGAGGGATCGGCGCGGATGAAGCGGCTCGAAGAACACTCGCGGGCATGGCACGAAGTCCCAAGAATTTTCAACACTTCTTTGACGTGCCCGAGTTGCGGTTTCAGTAAAGGGTAAGCTTACTGGGAATCGATTTCATTTTTCCTTAGGGTTTACTGTAAGTCGCTGCGTACTGCTCGAGGGCGGTCGCCGAGAAGGACATCATGCGCAACGCCTGCTTTTCGGCGTATGAAGATTGACAAGCCGCGGGTATCGGCGGAAAGATCGACGACGCCAAGCAGTTTGGTCCGTTTATTTCTTTCAATTGCTCTGGTTACGAATTTCCGAAAGTCCGGTTACGCACGATTTCTTTGCCGTTTCTTACCGTAAGCGTAGTGGTGGGCATATGCGTATGTGTAAACAAACAAAAATATGGAATTACGTCGATTTGTTATAACGCGTGCTGTAAGTGGCAGGCTAGCAGTGGTCATTGAGGAATTGAGGCAATTTTCGATAGTTTCTTACTGAAATCACATACGTGCCGTTGGAATTCGGCAATTGTTCAGCCGCGCTTGCGGCTTTTTTGAGCAAGGGTAGGCTAGCAGTGTTGCTTTGGGAATTTGAGTCAGCAGAGATGATTTTGGAAACCAAGGAAATGTGTATGAAAGGGCTTTTTGCAGATGACTGCTTTGCGGCGTCATAAACGAGGCAGGGCGCGAGGCTACGCGCCGGCCAGCTCGACGCGCGACGGTCGGCTTGGCGGCAAAGACCAGCTGAAGATGAGCACGTCGGCGAGACGATCGTCAACTTCAAGCAGTTCGGTTCGTTGATTTCTTTCAATTTCCTCGGTCCGAATTTCTTACTGCGAGGAGTTTTGCATTTACGCGCTAAATTTTCATTAATAGATTTTTTTAGCTGTGACGACAATTGGGAGACGAGGGGACGACAGCTGACCCACCAATTCGGTAACGGCAGACGGGGACCAAGTGGATACGGTCCGTTTATTCTTTTCAATTTCTGGTTATTATTTGGATTCAGTAGGGGTAGGCTAGCAGTAACAATTGAGGAAACGGTTGCGTGTGGTTTCGTGGCTTCGATATCATTTCTTCTTAGGGTTACTGTAGCTGGTAGGCTAGCGGTGACCGTTCGGGAATAGATTTAATTTCTTCTTGAGTGTTACTGCAGGTGGCAGGCTAGCCGCGGCCATTTAGGAATCGAGTTCTATTCTTCTTAGGGTTACTGCAGGTGGTGGGCTAGCAGAGGCTATTTAGGAATCGATTTCCTTTCTTGGTACGGGTTACGGCGGGGTGACTATTTGGGAATAGTTGATCAATTAGGGATTAGTGGCAAAGCACGTACGTAATATGCACTTTTACAGGCAAGGGCACATCTTCGACGAGTACGGGAGCAGCAAGCCGCGCTCTAGAAAAGGTATTTTAGTTACATGTTTCAATTTATCTTTTTTTTGTTAAGCGGCGCAGAGACGAACTGAGCGCCCATCAATCCAAAAGTGCGAGACGCGGAACGAGCGGATACGGTACGTTTATTTATCCAAATTTTTTGGTTCTTGTTTGGATACTGTAGGGGGTAGGCTAGCAGAGACCGTTTAGGGATCGATTTCATTTTTTTGGGTTACTGTAGGTGTTAGGCTAGCAGAGACCATTTAAGAAGGATTTCGTTTCTTCTTTGGGTTACTGTAGGTGGTAGGCTAGCAGTGTTAATTTAGGAATTGACGCAATTTTCGATAGTTTCTTACTGAAATCACCAGCAGGAAGGAAGCGATTTCATTTCTGCTCAAGAGCTACTGTAAATAAAAAGCTACTAGTAGTAGCAGCTAAAAAACCTATGAAACCTTAGCTGAAAGGGGCCAGGAAGTGCCAGAATCGACCCCCTTTATCGACTAGGTCTTGACAGCTATGCAACTCTCCAAATGACAACTGTCTATCTGATTTTGTGGCAGTATAATATGCTATCCTACCAGAGTACACTGCGCACGTGACTGGGATTGTCGCGTAGCTGTAAAGACCTAGTTGATAAAGGGGTAGATTCGGGCACTTCCTAATCCCTTTAAAAATTATTCCGTGAAAAACTAATGTTAATAAACTGTTCCAGGCACGTCGCCGCGGCTACATCGATTCTTCATTGAGCGACGCGGTGCGAGCGTTCCGGCCACCATCTGAGGTATTTTCATTTCACGCTTCAGCTTACTTCTTTTAGGCCGACGGTGCATCGAGGCGCGCACGAAATGCGATTCGCCGCCATCCCGAGCGCCTATCGGATGGCGCGACGATCGAGTCGCATTGTCATTTTGGTTCGTTTCTATCTTTCAAATGCAATATAATTACGGATTCGTTACGGGGGGGCAAACCAGCACTGACCCTTGAGGAATCTTCGTGACGGCGTACTGTTGGGGGTGGGCTAGCCCGGAGAATTGAGCAATCGGTCCTAAATCTGTCAAAATGGTTACGCTAGGGGCAACGGGTAGGCTAGCAAACCCCATTGGGGAATTTATTTTTAACTTGAGCTCCATCGACTAGGAATTAGCTCGATTTCGAGTTGAGAACTTACGGTAGCCGGTGGCTTAGCAGTAAAAAATGAGGAATAGGTGCGAATCCTGTCTCACGGGTTACGGTCGGGTTCGATTTCATCATAACGGCTGCAGTTGGGGGTAGACTGGCAGGTAAAATTGAGGAATCGGTCCTAAACCTGTCAAAATGGTTACGGTTGGGGGTAGCGGGTAGGCTAGCAGACCCCATTGACGAATTTATTTTTAATTTGGGCTGCGTCGACTATGAATTCCTTACTGTAGGGGCGGACCAGCAGTGACAATTGAGGAATCCTTTCCGTTTCTTCGTGAGGGCGTACTGCAGGGGGTGGGCTAGCCTGGAGAATTGCGGAATCGGTCCTAAATCTCTTTAAACGGTTACGGTAGGGGGGGTAACGGGTAGGCTAGCAAGCCCCGTTGGGGAATTTATTTTTATTTTGATTTTCAGCTGCATCGGCTGATAATTAGTTACGGTTACTAGCAGTGACAATCCAGGAAATCGGCTCGATTTCGTCAAACTTTTGTTGTCGAGGCATACTAGCACTCATCATTTAGGAATTAGCTCAATTTCTTCGTGACGTTTTGGGGGGAAAATGCAGGAAAAAGCTGAATTTATTTTTATTTTCATGTTTAGCTTCATCGGCTAGTGATCACTTACTGTAGTGGCGGGCTAGCATGGGCGATTCAGGAATCCGTTCGGGTTGCGCGTCGCACTTAGTAGTTCGGGTGTAGACAGCGGATCGAGGGTAGGGTGCCGCATTGAGGAGAAGCTTGGACTTTATCGCCCACATCTAAATCTTATGCGTTCGTTACGAAATGTCGAAAATCATCATGTCGAATTCACAATGGCGAAATTTCATAATGTTGAATTTCGTAATGTCGAAATTGAAAATATCTAAATTCAGAATGTCTAGATCCAAAATGCCGAAATTCAGAATGTCTAAATTCAGAATGCCAAAATTCAAAATGTCGAAATTCAGAATGCCAAAATTCAGAATGTTGAAATTCAGAATGCCAAAATTCAGAATGTTGAAATTCAGAATGCCAAAATTCAGAATGCTGAAATTCCGAGGGACGACTGAAGCTAGTTTTTCCGGAAACCTAAAATCCTATACAACAGATTTCGACAGTCTAAAAGCATGAAATTATGAAATTTTGAAATTCGACGTTATGAAATTTCGACAACAAGCTAGCAAATCAGATCTTATTGCTTACCTTTGGAAAGACGGATTTTTCAGGTGCCCGGCGGAGGCGACGGCACCGTCCCGATGAAGGCTCCGACCTGATGATGGCGTCGACGACGGGTCAAGGGGAGTCTCGGCCAACGAAAAGCAGCGCGGACACGCCGATGGTATCGTTTTCTCTATAACATCATATGCATGAATGGAAAATTCAACTTATTTTGCTCTTTCCTCTCTCGTGCATGAATTTGGTCCCATCTAGCGCCGTTTTTCTCACCTCCGCTTGCAAATCGCTGCCGCCGCACTCGTAGAACTTGGCGCCCCAAAACCTGAAATTATGATTTGAACGTGGAAGACAGATATTTTGAAGAGAACCGATAGGAATTAGATCGAAAATACGAGATGACGATCGATTTTTGTCAAAAAGGATTTTAGGTCTTTTTTAGGCGTTTTTTCACGGCGGGGTGAAAGAGAGCAAGTGCTGAAAAGGGGGCTTGAGCAGATGTTAATCATTTAATTGATTTTACGCTAAAGCGAGAGCCTAAATTATTGACCCGGCGGAATAGAGAGCGAACGAGTGAGGTCTTCTTTCCCTTTAATGAGCCACCCATAGGCCGAAAACACCTTGTAGATGCGCTGGGGGTAGGAATGAAAGCGAGTGTAAATAAAAATAATAATTTTGACGCATAAAAAAAACAATGTTTTTACTTTCTTTCTTGCAAATCAAGTTTTTTTTTGCCAATCAATTACGTGATTTAATAGGAAGTCGAAGCCCTCGAGCTGGCGTACTACCGTGGATGGCTTTGGAATTCGCTTGAATTTTTTTCTGATTTTGACCGCGTTTGCTTTTGGCGACCGATTTTGTTCGATTCTAAAACAGATCTTGTTGGTTTGCAGTTTCTCATTGCAAAAATGCTTGAATGTAACCCAGACTATGGCAGACTATTTTCCTTTAGGGTCTCTTTACTCACATCTTGTCTCCCATCGATCTCCTTCTTAATGCTCACATGCGTTAATTGTATTTATCAATAAATTTCAGAATGAAATTGCTGGCAATTGGATTCGTTTCGGATGAATCTGCTGGAAGATTCAGTCATTGGTTTGCCCGACATCAGATGGGCGATATCTTATTCGGATCCGACGTTGATGCTTGCCGCAAGGTTGTCATTTTACTATTCCAAACAATGCATTTAGTTCTACCAAGAGCCTCTACGATCTGCTCAGGACTTGACTCACTTCTTCATCAGAAGTCTGAACCGGGGCGCGGTACGGCAGTTATGCATGGGATTGATAAACGGAGAGGTAATTCTTTTCACTTTCCCACTAGCCTTGGTTTTAGATAACTGATGGAATGCTTGCTGCCATCGAAAACGATGAGGATATCGAGAGCCCCAATAATTTATTGTGAGTCCAATTTACACAGGTGTATTCCATTTTTTTTAGTATATTGGGTGCACCGTATGAGCAGCAGCTGGAGGAGATGCTATCGCCCGCAAACGCCATCACTTACGGACTGTCCCCGTCGGAAGTTGCCGTCGAATATGACGCCCGTCTCTCAACACTCGATAAAGTCCTGGTGTTGCTGAGCATGACGACATCAAACAGCTTGGCCATCGTCCCATCTTTGAAGAATTACTTTGCAAGCGAAGGAATGATTGTTCTGAACAGTAGACCGACACTGATGGAGGATAATGCCGATGTGAACACCAAAAGCTTCTATATGATATGTGTGGTTTTTGATCATCGCTGGCCCTTATCTCGTTTGTTGTGCCCAAGTTCTTACCACAGCCCGTCCTTTTGCCCCAATAAGATAGAACTAAAGTCGTTCTTGTTTCTGACCGATTTTTGAGAATCCGCTAGTTTGTGGAAAGATATGTGCCTAGTTTCCGACGCTTTCTGTCCTATCTTGCCTCTGCTATTGTTTTACGCGTTGAATTGATACCAATAAATGTTTTCTGACCCAGAACGGCTTAGATCAAGCAATTAAACCCGGGTCTCGATTTAGGATGAGGACGTCGATTATTCTCATCGGAGCGCGCGCGCACTGAGGTGATCCATCAACAGCTGATTGTCTCGGCCCGGCCGCTGAACACGTTGTTCGTCATCCGGCAGTTCATGGCTCGACATTAGAACTCAAGCATTTAGCACAAGCCGGTATCAAAACGACAACATCGTGCTGGTGAAGTAATTGACTTTTGTAGGATTGTCGGAGTTCTGGCCCGGTTCAATATAATAGCAAATGACGCGGCAACGAGAGGTTACGGGATCGGGCCCGGAATCGAGAAGAATCCCGCAGATGTGCTTTGATGTTGGCCATGACCACAGCTTTGCCTCGCGCGCCAACGATCGTGAGCCGGGGCCCTCGAGTGATCATCATCGAAGTCCGGTACATCGAATGGCCGTCATCTGCTGTAAATCTCCAACTAGTTGCTAGGAACTTAGGTTCCCTTAACAGATCCTACTCTAAATATTCACGATTTCCCGTGATCTTCGGGCTTATTTGCAAGGTTGCCAACAGCCCCGTGTCATTTTTAGCTGTGAAGCTTCAGGTTTGCACGATTTCGACGCCATCTTGACTATATCCAGCTTCGTTTTTTTTGCTGGGCTTGCAATCAATCTGCTTTGTCCATCCAAAATTTGCATGTTGGCCTCTTAAGATTCGTCAGGTCCGACTATTTCCGGGTCGACCCTCTCCGTCTTGCCGGTTTTTTCAGTTTATGTCTAGCCGGTCGAGCGGCTGACGGCATTGAAAGATATAACACATTGTCAATTACGAAAGAGAGTCCTATCTGCATGCTTTTGTCAATGACTGTGCAACTGTGGCGCCTAAGCGTCAGGGAATGCGGCTACAATTGGATGAACATCAGCTTCAGGCAGTTCTCACGGCCCGAAGCCCATCAACTCGCGACTCATTTCGGTGTTGTCTGATAGCAATCCATCGAGGTTGTTGAAGCCGGCGGACAATTTGAGAAGCTTTGTTTACGGCTTCCGAGGAGCCTGTCGACGATCACTAGGCCTGATGAGGTTTGTTTTTAGATGATGGAATTTTTCACGCTCTATCCAATGGTTTTCTTAACGTTACGTGAACGGTCTCGGAACAGAGAGGCGTCTTAGCAGGCAGGCCGCCTGCCGAGGTGGACGCGTCGTTGGAACTATCATCTCTCACTTGATCCTGACAAGTAGTCTTCGATAGCACCCGAAAGAGAGCACCCCGGTGTGCCTTTTGGGGACGTCTTTCGGGTTGCTATCCGGGTGCTTTTTCGTGAATTACGTCAATATATCAACTAGGCTTTTTTTGACGAAATCAGAAGATGAACATCATCCTCGAGCAGTTCGCACAAATCGCCGCCAAACCGGTCGCAACTCATTTGGGGTTCGTTTGGTAGCATTCCTTCGAGGTTGTTGAAGGAAGCGGACGATTTCGAGACATTTTTTTCTAACCGCCCTAGGAGGCAGGGCAAAGCTAGTCAAAAGCTGAAACTCGTTGAACAGATAGAGCTTTTCGCGCCCTTTCGATTGGTGTCCTTTGCAATTCGGAATACGCTGTGCAGCTCGAGATATGATGGTTTTAGTGTCACGACAACTTCGCCAAGTACACCTTTCAGTACTAAAACGCTCCCCTCTCTGTCCCCCGACGGTTTTGAGCAACCGTCAATATACCGTTGTGAAGGGCGGTGGAACTGAAATGCAACTGCATTATTTCACTGAAAATGCAACAATCCTAACCCCATAAAAACCGGTTAGTAAGCCTGGTTAGGCTGTTATATCGGTTAGAAAGAACGTCTCGAAATTGTCCCCCTCTTGCAACAACATCGAAGAAATGTTTCCAAACGATTACCAAATGACTTGAGGGCCATTTGGTCTCGACTTGTGCGAACTGCTCGAAGATGATGTTCATCTTCGCTTTCGGTATGGGACCCGACCTATTTTGTGCAGAATTTTTCGCTGATTCCGAGTCCGGTTTCAATTTTTGCGAACAAAATTCCATTTTAAAAAGTTTATATTTAAATTTAGATTTAAAAAGCTGGGGCGATTTTAAAAGCACATTTCAGATCACGGGCGATCTTCTGCCACGAAGCCCGACTTTTTTTAATATGCTAACAAGGAAAGGGCGAATGCGCGATCTCGAGATTCGCAAAACGCTCGCGGCAACCCCCAGGTTATCGACTACGGGGAACACGATCGTGTTGGCAGAGCGCTTGAAATTGTTGCCTGGTATTGACAGTGATTTCCCACGATACAAAAAATTTGCTTTCCAGCGCCGAAGCGCCGAGCTCCAAAGCAAAAAATATAAAATATGAACGCCGGTATGTTGTAAATTGCTTCCAAAAAGGGCAAAAACAAAAAATTACGCGTGGATCCGAACCGTTGATGGTATTTCAAAAAGCGAGCCGTTAGCACTCGACTAACTCACTGGCTGTGGTAGGTAACCTGGAAGCTCTCAATAAACCCCAGGGAGAGCATTCTAATTTCTCGTATGCAAATGGTCCTATTTCCGGAAGTACCGTATCTCGCTCCACAAGGCTCGGTGGAAAATTCTGCCAACAAGATCGTGTTCCCCGTAGTCGATAACCTGGGGGTAGCCGCGAGAGTTTCGCGAGATAGCCCTAGTTTTTGGTAATCTATTCCAGTTCATTTTAATGAAGTTTCTAACCCTTATTTGTTATACAAAAATCTCATAAAAATTCCCGAAATTTTCATAAAAATAAGTTACCCTGACAGGTATCGAAGACTCGATTTTCAAGGACCGTGCGGGTTTTTGAACCAGGGTATCTCTATAGGAAAATCGGGGTTTCGCTATGTTAAAGGGTATTTTGCTACAGCATTTTGCAAAGGATAAGCACTCAAACAGGAAGAATTGGACCTGGCATTATCGGAATCGGCATGTCAAACCATAGAATTTTACGGAAAAATTCATATGCAACCATCGCGCGCCTAATTCAGTACCGCCATGCTGAGACTGTACCGCCATGCTGAGATTGTACCGCCATGCGGGGTAGTACCGCCCACGCCCCGAAATCGCGGCGGTCTAAGGGCTAGGCAACGCGGCGCTCCTATCGACACAAAAATGTATGGGGCTAAAATTTTGGAGACTTATATCTTGAAAATATGGCCGATCTTAAAAAACGCGAATTCCAGTCTTGTAGAAGGGAACATGGCGATTCTAATGATACTAAGCACTAACAAAACTGAATTTAGAAAGTATGCTAACGAAGGCGGTTTTGGTGAGCGACTTTGTGAAAAGTGGTATTTCGGAGGGCTAACTGGCTGTGTTTGGTATCATTCGAACCGTAAAATTCTACTCTGCAATAATTGATATTGGGTTTTCGTTATTAAGTCGGTTTGAAAAAGTTATAAGAGCTTAAACTTTTTGGCGCCCGCTACGTTCCGCTCCTATCGACGCTTTTGCCCCTCCCGGCACATTGCCGTTTTTGGCCTGTTTGATTGGCCGTGCGCCATGCTGACAGGAGAACAGCCCAAGGATCGTCCACCTTATAAATCGTCACAAACCCCCCACCCTCCACCTTTTTTTTCTCAATGGTTCCTCCCCCCTTTTCTGTGATTTTTTTTTCATACTGTGATTTTTTTTTACCTCGTTGCGTGTGCAACGGCGCCCTGTGCAGAATAAATAAATAAATAACCGGTAAGAGGTTTGGATGAGAAAGCCGGCCGCTACGGCTACGGCTACGGATTGCGAAAAATGACATGCACCGCTTGTTAGCGCCCCATGCTTTGTGCGGTTTATTCTGTAGGCTGAATTACTCCACGAAAACTGTTGCGTAAATGAGCATGCAGTGTGTATCAAAAAGATCGGGCCACCTCTTCTTTTGCGATTATCTCGGCCCTCGTCAGTTTTGGAGCCAAGCCAATTCGTAGGTCTTGTAGCGCTTGAAAAGGCGCATTTTTTCATGTACTTGAAATTTCCCGAAAATAGAGGAAACGTTTTTTACAAGCGATAGCACAAAACAGGGCAAAAAACAGGGGTCAAAAGATAGGGCCACACTTTACATACAGTGTGTGTCGAAACGAAACACTCTAACTATTGCTCGAATCATGGTGACTGGGCATCGAGCATCAATGCCCAAACGGGGTAGACATATATCTGGAAACCGGGTTCACTTTGTAACTATTAGGTTGAATTGAAATTTTTTACAATATTTTTATTCTTTTATATTTTCGTTCCCGAGAATGTCTCAGAAATTAAATGTTTAAGCGATAGACTGATGCACAATCAATTGCCCTATCCGACCCGGGCTACGGAATCGCAATGCTTTTCATTTCGAATTTTTTATTTTGATTTGCCAAAAAATCAAAAATGGCTTTTCACCCTTGTTTGCAAAACTGTTCCGATTTACTTTTTTTGCATATTTTCGCATCTAACGAGTAGCTCGCCTAATTATATTGCTAGCGGTTCATTCCCATGGTAACTTTATGGCGCTTCTGAAAGATGTCAAAGTCTAAAATTTGCGGCGCCTCAGAGAAAAACGCAAAAATGAGAAAAATCCCTGGGACTAGAAACGTGTAATTTTTATCCTACAAACTATCGAACCCAACGGATATATGGAAAAAGTAAAACTGTAGCGGTCCACAAAATTTTTAGGGATTAATTTCTGAAGTTCGATTGTAAGGACTTTCGGTTCCACCTAATATAAGCTAATTGGCAAAGCGGTTGCAAACGTACCCCGTATTCCTTTGGAGCGGCGATCGAGTCGAGCATAAACCTGCCTGGTCGGCGAAAAAGGGTGCCCTGGCCGCGGAGCATCACCGTCACACCTAGAAGACGCTCACTTGCTCGGACCCGAAAAGACAGCTGCTGAGAATTCGTCTAGGCCGGAGATGGCTTTAGATTGAACTACATATTTCTATTTAGAAAAAAAATACATTTTAACGATAAATTTAAAACTCTAGATATCTAAAACTACTTAGGCGTAACGGTTATAGAATCAGCGTAAATGTGGTACAGCACCCACCTCCTCTTGGATGATCGACGCGAAAGTATTGCGTAGAAAAGAAGCTGAGTTTTTCATTCGAGCGACTGGTGGGAAGATCTGGGAACTAAAAAAAACTATCAGATGGGAGGGTTGAGGCTTGTGGCCGATCTATGGAATAGCTGGCTAAAATAAGACATAGCTCAATCCTGAGCATTCGAGATGTGAAAGCATCCGGGGACAAGGAAAAAGGGAGAGCAAGGCACCTAGCATCGAAGAGAGGAAGAGAGAGAGAGAGAGAGAGAGAGAGAGATAGCGAGCGAGAGAGAGTGAGTGAGAGTGAGAGTGAGAGAGAGGAAGAGTGAGAGAGAGGGA